ATAAAAAATCATTTTCAATTTACGTGCGAATTAAAAACAGAAACTTTGCTGCCAGTTAAAGACCATAGCCATAGCCCAGTGGGTGGTGGTGGTGGCGGGTGATATAGGATGATAAAACGGTAGTGATGGTGGTGGTGGCTACGATTCCTTTTTCCTTTTTGCCTACTCTCGCTTGCTGAGCGCCTAATTAAAACTCATTACCATAAGCATAAAACTTGAGCAAGCAAATTTCCGTCATCAAAACTGTTGAACAGAAAAATGGGAAGCAGAACAAAGGATTTGCAAGTTGGCAAAGGCACTTGGAGAAAATGGGTAGGAAGATGTTTAGAATATGTTTAAAATATTTCATTTTATTATTATTTTAAAGGAAATATATAAAAATGAAGTATAAAAAGGAAATACAGTGAAAGGAAAGTTTAAATAATTTTAAAAAGGAAATTTACATTTAGAGGACTAAAGGCAAAGGAGAAACATTTTAAAAAAATATTTTAAAAAATGTTAATTCTTTAAATAAAAGTTAAAATCTTTAACATCTTTTGCTAGATTTTTCTAAATTGAAAATATTTAAGTCTTAATATAAAAACTTGAAAAGATACTCAAATTTTATGACTTTGTTTTGACCAAAAAACCTTCCTTTCTTCTTGAACTTCTTGCTGAATAAAATTACTTAAAAATATTCCTAAAAAATACAAAATAAAATATTTAAAAAATCTTTAATCATCGCTAAATTTCTCCCTCTGCCTACAAAATAAATTGCAGACAGGAAATTTAAGTCGAATCATAGAGGGGCGAGAAAAGCGAGCTGGGGAAAAGTCAACTGGACAGCAGCTCACAGGTTGTTTAACCTTTTCTTTGCCTAATGCAATTTCCTTGCCAGACGGCGCAATTTTTTTTTTCCTTTTTCTTTTCTTATGTTTCCTTTTTTTTTTGTGTTTTTCTTTTTTTGGGGGTTGAGTTTCGGTGAACTATATCCCCTGTCTCGCTCTTTCCACCCCGCCGCAGCATAGTGGAAAGTGAAAGCTACATGCGTGCAACGACCCTTTTCACAGGATTTCCACTCTCTCTTCAGCCCTCTCTCGCTGTGTCTCTCGTTTGCTCTCTGTCTGGCTATTCATTCTCCCTTTTTCCACAGTTTATTTTTTTTCTGTTTTTTTTCTTCTTTTTTCATTTTTGTGCTGAAAACTTTTCGTCCACGTGTGCAACAGTTTCGAAATCGTGCTGCTGGGAAATTCTGAGCGCCTGGTCGAGTTGCCGGCTCGCATTTGTGTGCCTGGCAAAAAGGACGAAGCGATGAGTGAGATTCCGCTCTCTGCTTTGTAGTGGCCATTGAAAACTCAACTCAAAAGTTAAGTTTTCCCTTGCATTTTCCAGCCATTGATAATGTTTTTGTGGATTTGTGTATTGCTTTTCCCACCCTGCGGTAGATAAAGAAAGGGGTGAAAGAATGTTTGTGTGGGGGTTTTAGTTTTTGGCGTTTGCTTTTGTCTGTTGTTTTTGTTGTTGGGTTTTCCATTCTGCCGGTTTCGGCTTTTCACTCGCCCACTCACTGTTTCAAATGTGTTTTTGTTTTGCGCTTTTCATCTCCAAGTGGAGCACAAAGAGTGGCTAGAAAGGGAGGAACAGAGAGAGAAAGACAGAGAGAGAGTAAGAGATGAAAGAGCGGGAAGGTTGCATAGGATGTGGGGGTATGGGAGGGTGGTGAACTTTGAATGCACAAGTGTGCGAGCCTGGGAAATGGATGTGGCACATTTCCGGCAGGAATTGTGCAGCGGAAAATGCAGATGGAGATGAAATATATATATATTGATGGGTTAAGATATATAGTATTTGTTTTAAATGAGGTTTTGAAAAGAAAGGGGAAAATTTAGACAGAAAACTAGAGTTTCCCCTTTCCCTAACCAAAGTTGTTTATCAAATCTAACCACAAAATCTCCCCTTTGCACCCATGGTAACCGACAGTTTCTTTGTTTTTTCTCCCTCCCAACGAGGGTGCAGTTTTTCGTTTCGGTGTCAAGCATCCTCCTGTTGAACATCCCCGGCTAGGGACAACTTTTCGCACTCTTTAAGAGTCCTCCTCCATTGGCCCAAAAGAGATGAGCTTAAAGTTAACCTTGAAGAGATTCCATCATGCTTACTCAATGTTCCTGGGCTCCCATCCTTCACTCACCCCGAACTTATCGCTGTTGGATATATATTCCGGAGTTAAATATATATATATATATATATGTATGTATATATATTGACTGCGATATGCTTGCTAAACTTTCGCACCCTTTTAAGAGCCGCCCTCGGGGGTTGACTCTCGCCTCGACTCGTCTCGTCTCGTCTGTCTGGGGCAATTCCTGCGTTTGTTGATCGTTACAGTAAATCATTCGAAATGAAATTTCACTTCCACTTGGTGGGTCGTCGGCACTGAGAGAAACTACAACTCAAGTTCTTAATTGAGATTTGGAAACTGAAAGTTATCTTCTGAAGTTTTCTCACCAACAACTTGTAAACTTAAACTGCTTAAAGTTAAACTTTAACTTGATTTTAGTTTCCATCCTTCGGACTGCCTTCCTCCAAGTTAACTTACTTAACTTAACTTATTAAGTTACCTTAAGATTTCCCTTCAGTGTATTTATTAGGAGTTTTTCCTGCTCTGTTACCACCCTCCTGGTAACTAAGTGGATTGCGCGTGGAAATGGAAAAACATGTGACCAGCTCTCCCAGGGGCTGGGAGTGGTGTTTCTTCCCAATTTTCTGGGTGGTTTTTCGTTGTTGTTGTTGTTTTTCTCTTACTTTTTTTGGCAAGCTAAGTCAAAGTTTTCTATTAGACAACGGGGTGATTTTCACAGCGTCAGCTAGAATAAAAAGGGAAAATGCCATATCGGTAAGTTGAGGTCATTTATTATGCTCATGACACCTTCCAGCCTTCGCCGTTCTGGCTTCCTTTTTTTTGCTTTTGTGATTTCCTCCCCCCTCTCCCTTCTACTAAAAGTTGCCGCCTGGCAACATTTGTTATCTGGGGATCCCCCCCCCCGCTGCGACTGCGTTTCCCAATTTTCCATTTCCCATTGTTGTCTGCAGGGAAAATTATGCAGCAATTCATAAAAATGGCTGGCAGAAGAACCATAGGCGGCGTTACTTTAATGCCGATAAGTTATCCTAACATAGATTTTAGCTACGGTTTATCGATTAAATCAAAGAACCGTTATAGGGGGTGACCAAATTTTTGGGTGTTGGTGTGTGGTTTTGGTTTATGGCCAGCAGTTTGCGTGGCATTTTAATGGATTTCCAAAAAAGGGTATTGGAAAATCCTGTAAGGTGTAGTAAATATGGTTTAAGGATCTCATCATTTGGGATGTTAATGGAGTGATGAAGATGCGATTGAAAAAGGGCAATATTTTTTCTTTAATTTAACAAAAAATTATAATAAAAAACACCAAAAAAATCCACACAAAGCCATTACTTTCCTAGAACTCTCTCTTTTTATTTATTGTAAATTTTCACTTATCTTCCTGGCGGGACTATATTTTTCCCATCAGCTCTTGAGCTGGTTTTATCTGCCACAATTTCAATTAACTCAAATGGTCTTTAACGTAGAGCAAATCCCAGCCAGCCAAACATTGGCCATGCCAGTCACATAGGACCAGAAAACGACCCCCGCGACAGACAATTAAAAGGGGAAACCACACAGACTGTGAGCCAATTTAGATAAGCCCCAGGATATAGGGAACCCCACAGCAGACCAAAAAGGACTTCAAAGGGTCGTTACATATATATATATCTGAGTCTCTAGATGGTGCCACACTCAATTCATATCTTGTGCAACATAACAATTAGTAAAGACCATTAAACGTAGCAGTCGAGCGCAGGAGCAGACAATACAAGTTGGTGGAAGTTTTGGGGAAATTATGGGCCAGTGGAGCCAGTCGAATGGTATGGAAGAGTAAACTCTGTTTACGTTCTGCCCTGTCGAAAAATGTGCACTAAAGTATCTAAATTTATAAAAGAAATAAACAAACTGAAGCCAAGCTATGCAGCAGCACTCCATAAACTGCAGGGTACAGCAGATGATGCATTTAACTGGCCAGCGGGAATTTATGAGGGCCGAAAATTCCGAATATAAATACAAATTCCGCTTCGGATTTAGACTGAGACTGAGGAAAACGGAGAAAAAGGGAAAACAACTTCCAACTTGTTTGCTTTCAATTAGTGTTGAACTTTTGTATTGCCTCGCTCTTTTTTTCCTGCCCCGAAAATTATCTAAATAAACATGCAACATGGAGGCAGGAAGGCAGGGAGGCAGCAAGTCAGGGAGCCATGGAGCAGCAGTGGCTATAAAAAACCAACGCATAAAGTTCGAGGGAAACTAGGTAGTAGAAGTCGCACGAAATGAACTCATCGTTGCAGCGAACTAATGCATATTTTCCTCTAATTTTCTCTCTCAAAAAAAATGTGTTAAATGTTTGCGTAAATAAAAACAGCCAGCGAATGGAAATTCTCTAGACCACCACGCCCATATCTGAATAGTTTTTCTTTCTATTTTTTTTAGAGTTTGGCGTTTGGCGTTTGGTGTTTGTCGTTTCAGGTTCTGGTTCGGGTTACTTGCATTTACCAGTAGCTACGCTTCGTTTGTTTTTTTCCAACGAATCGCTGTTAGCCGGTCAGGCTTTGGTTTTTGGTATTTGGTATTTGGTTACCATGTCAAGTGGCAAGTTGCACTCGACTTCAGTGCGAGTTCCAGGAATGTTGATAGACCTTCATTCGTGGCGAGCAACATTATGCCTCTGGAAGTTCGGTCTAATGTTTGGGCAAACAAATGGCAGGCAGTTAACTAGATTTGAGTAAGAAAGAGTAGTAGAGCAGTGGGAAAAGTAGCTTAAAGATGGTGTGAAATTTAGAGTCTTCTTTGATAAGGAAAAGTATAAAGAAGACTTTTAGATTCTAACAAATATTAGAAAAGCAAATCTATATCTTAACTTCTTTACTAATACTACCCTTTCTTTCTCTTTCAGAACGAGTCCTGCGTTACTGCGAATCCCCCTCAGTGGGCACCTGCTGCACCTACAACATGGAGACCCGAATGGCCATGCAGTCACGCCAGCAGCTTGAAGGGCATACCAAGGAGCAGATCTCTCGTATGTCTGGAATCCTGGGCAGCAAGGCCACCAAGTTCAAAGGTAAGACCACCAATAGATAAACCGAAATAACAATCATTGCGTCAGCATGCCACTTGAACATGCCACAGAAGCCAACGATTAGAGATTTTTTCGGGTGTCAAGTGGTTATGCCTTCAGACAAGCACAGAGAGAGAGAAAAAACCCTGATCTATATAGATACATGATCCATTGGAGGAGGCGATGATGCGGGCCTCGAGTTACTGACAATGTCAAGTGGCAGGCGACAATGCGGATGTGGCTGCATGTTCTATTTTTCCAGCGGATGCAGGCCAGAAATAAAATCGAACTCTTAAACATTTTTGTTGGCAATGCAAGCGGATGTGTACGCCCCCCACCCTCCCCCTACCATTACCCCTTCCACTGAACAATTAAATCTAGTTACATTTTAAACTAATTTCTTTTTCCGCTTTTGCAGATATTTTCACAGCCCTGCTGAAAGAGTCACGAACTCAGTTCAATAGCATGTTCATACGTACCTATGGCGTGATCTACGAGAGAAATTCGTACGTCTTCTCGGATCTCTTCAAGGAGCTGGAAACTTACTTTGCCAATGGTCGAGTGGACTTGCTAGAGGTCATGGATAAGTTCTTCAATACGCTGTACCAGAAGATGTTCACTGTACTGAACACCCAGTATACCTTTGATGAAAAGTGAGTAGAGAGTCGTTGTCGTCAGTCTGGGGAAATTCAAAACCCAGCGAGACGAATGATTTTTTAGAGGCCTACTTAATACTGCGTCGTCGTCAGTTGGCTAAAAACAAAACGTGTGAAACCGCAAAGTGTCTCGGGCTGTCGACCGACAATAACTAACTGACTTGACGGCCCGTCGAAACTTTGACACTGTCGGTGTGCGATTTCAGTTAGCGATTCCCGTCGATATGAGTGTGTCCTATGGAGGTTTCCCTTGCCTCTGTTCGTTGAGTTTACTTGAAGTTACTCTTGTTTTTGCCAGATTTTTCGTTTGCGGTTGAAACGCTTACAGCGCAGAGAAAATGAGGAAGTTGTAGGGAAGTTTTCCATGGGTGAATAGGAGATGCTCTGGAAATGTTATTATTATTATAAAATGTAGTCTTTGGGTTGAATAAATATTAGACTTTGAATTAGTTTAAACTTTGAAGGAATGTTTTTAAATCTCCCAAAAATCCTTTAATGCCATTTTAGCATCTTGATTATTTTGGAAGAATAACTCATTCATGAACTTACTGTAAAGAGAGACTCCGAAACTATCACAGTAACTCCTCTTAGTTTCTGCTTTACCATTTAGACAGATTGTCTACCCCACATGGGAGATATTACTTCACGTCCCACCAGCGGTTTCAGCCTACTGCGATTTATTCATCCCAATGAAACCCATTCCAGCCCACCACGTATGTACCAGGCCATTTCCTTCAATCCCATAACCATAGCCAAAACCAAAAAACCGCACTTTATGCCAGTTCCTGTGTCAGCTGCTCGAATTTCCGCCAAAATGGTTAAGCCCAGGAAAAAAAAAAGCAGGCGAAAATTGCGCCCACTTGGCTCATTGCCCTGGAACGGTCGCTGCTTGGTCTCCGGTAACCGGCGACTTGGCCAAATGACTTTTGTGTCCCTGCTTCCCCTTTTCGGCATAGGGCTCGTGTTACCCACGCGCTTTCCAATTGATGCCGCCTGACTTTGGCTACGACTCCATCTCCATCTCCGTCTCTGACTTCTGGTTGAAGTTCTCCACTCTCCACTCTTCACTCTCCACTCTCCAGACCAGCGATTCGCTTTTATTGTCATCGTTTTAGTTTGTCGTACGTGCTTTGGCACGTTGTCGTTTATTGCCATTGGACAGCAGCGGGAACGACAACAGCGATGTCGCGTAATTGCCGGCACTTGCCTGCCAACGGCCCATTCTGCACTGTCCGAAAAAACAGAACTAATAAAAATTAAGGACATTTTTGGAAATGAAGATTTTGAGATTCTTAAAAAGGTTCTCAGTGGAGAAAGAGTAGAAAATCTCAAAGTAAAAGCTGAAATATCAAAATAAAATGTTTAAACTTCTCAAATTGAAGTCTTTATTTTAAATATTTGTATTAATTAAAGTTTATTTTTCGGTGTATTAACCCCCTCTGTTATTTGTTTGTGGCATTTGTTTGCTTTGTGCGGTTGGTTGGTCGGTCGCCTGGCCCTCAGAATGGATCAGATGGCCCCGCTGCAGAGCATAGAGTACCAAACTGGACCTGGAGCTAAAGGTTCTCCTGTCCATTTAATGAGGGGGTAGCTCAAGCAGTAAGTTTGCCTAGCAAACATTTGGGGAAGGCGCAGAGAGAGAGAGGTAAACTATGGGAAGTCAACGGGTGTTTGGCTGCAACACTGATATGCGATATGTCCTAAACATGAAGAGTCAAATGGCATGACAAATAAAGGAAAGGTTTCTGGCAAAAGGGGAAATCGGTTCTAGGTAGCTAATGGTAAGGAGTGGAATAAACTTCTATACAATATTATTAGTTTTCATTATTTATCAGTTCATTAGATAGAAATAAGAGTTTCCAACATATAAAGTAAAAACTCCTACCAGAAACTCCTCAATCTCCCCAACCCATCAGGGAACCTCCAGCAGCTGCTGCTGCCGCTTGACTGATCTGTCACCTCTGTGAATGCAACTTGCAGTAATTCCTAAATTGTTTAGCAAAAGTAGAGAGGGAGAGGGAGAGGGAACAGCGACTTCTTGACCATAGTGACAAGGGCAGAGACAGTGAGGGCCAAAAGCAGCCGTACAAGTGCAATGACTGTCATGCTTGATGGCCAAACTGTAGGACCAGGCACATACTTCTAGATCTGCTGCCAGGGAAAACAAAAACATCAACAAAGCCAGCAGCAGCACATGGCAAGCAACTATTTTTATGTATTTTCCGCATAAAAATTGTAGTTTTGCGGCGGCGGAAAAGAATGCCATGCTGGCGATAATGATTCTGATGATGATGGAGTTGAGGGCGGAGGCGTTGCCATTGAGCCGTGCCATTTACAAGCGCAGATTTCCGCCAAGAGCACACCCAAGGAAAATATTTCTCCTCTCCCCCGACATTCCATACACATTTTTTTTCTACATTTTTCTTTTACATTTTCCAGCTACATGCGATGCGTCAGCGAGCATATGAAGGAGCTAAAGCCCTTTGGGGATGTTCCGGACAAGCTGTCCGTGCAGATCAAGCGATCCTTTGTGGCCACTCGCACCTATGGACAGGCTCTGACCACTGCCTCGGAGGTGGCCAAAAAGGTTCTGAATGTAAGTTAAGAACACTTTTATATGTCCTAAGTTTAAGCCTTATCGAGGGACTTAGTTTCTAATATATTTCTTATACCCAAACCTTTAGGTCCGCCTGAATGCCGACTGCACTGGAGCCCTGACCAAGATGCAGCACTGTGGAGCCTGCAAGGGCTACACGGAGAAGCCCTGCACCAACTACTGTGTGAATGTGATCAAGGGTTGCCTGCACTACCAGCATGAGTTCGACAGCGAATGGGAGAACTTTGCAATGGCCATGGACAAGGTGGCGGAGCGTCTGCTGGGTTCCTTTAATATAGTGATGGTGGTGGAACCACTCAACATCAAGATCTCCGAGGCCATCATGAACTTCCAGGTGAGATCTCTACAGTGGGATAATTTGGATAGGCTGTGATGGGGTCTGGGGTCATTATCATTAGCATTAGCATAAACCAATCGCAATTTGTTAACTCGTTTGGGCCAAGCAGCTGCTGGTTAATATTTGTATCTCTTTGGCTCGGAGTTCGCAGTTGGCTCGACTACTCCGGTAAGTTATGCTCGCATAAAACTGTCAGTGCGTCAGAGTGGTTTACGCGTGGCCAGTTAAATCGAATACATTTCTAAACGTGTCCCGAAGTTATTCGAGGGGAAAACCGTAAGAGATCGCGGCGATTGATATGTGAGACCTAAGGTTGGATGATATTTATGGTGGTTAGGGGGGTTCTATTCTTAGATTTTGGCTAATGGGAAAGTAAAATGCAAAGGCAAGGAAAGTAAATCTATCTTAATATGTTTTCAATGAGTAATAATTCTTTAATAAAGAGTTTCATCTCAATCCATTTTCCAACTCAATTCCCAAACAAAGACTTAGATGATAGTTATCAAGCATAAATTTAATATTTAAAAATAAATTCACGACATTTACACAGAAATTCAAATCATAATTTACACTCGAATGGCCATAACTTATTGAATTTTGATTACTGCAATATTTTAAGCCTGTCGGTTTCTATCTTCAGCGCGCCGCTTCTTGCTGTTTTGTTTGCCATTTTTACGATTTATTTGCCCAACATTTGGCCCGCATATGAATTTAATTTATATTTCCATTTAAAATTTATACATTTCTTTGTTTCTTCTTTTGTTTGTATCTATGAGCTGTTTGTTGTTGTTTGTGTTTCGGCATTTGGCTTTTAATGTGTTTACTTTTGCCGGTATTTGCCGTTGCTATTGTTGTTGGTCAGACGGCCCCATAAAAGGCAAAAAATGCGAAATAGTATTCAATTTTAATTCTGATTAGTTTCTTCTTGGCTGAAGTGCCAGGGCAGGGGTTTACCCCATTTTCGAACTTAGTTTAACCGACGAACCGCCTTTTGATGATTGCCATCTTTTAGTCGGGTCGACAGTTATGATGAGGAGTCTCTTCCTACTCCAATCCAACCCAACCTTTGTAATTATATAAACTGTAAACGGTTAAGAAGAGTGGTCATAGAAGAAAAAATAACACATGGGAGATATAGGAGTGCTGATAAGACGGTGATGAAGCGCAAGCTTCTGTTGAGAGTTGAGTCTTGTTGGGAAGAGAGGTCTCTGATCGCTCGAGTGGCCCATAATGAGTAGCCGGCTGAAATCAATTCTTATCTATGGAATGGGTCAATAAAAGCTAACTATAAATAGCCATTAAGGGGCCATACTCGCTGGGGTGTGAATGGAATTGCTGTTGAGTATGGGAAACTACTATGTGATTTCCCTTGAACGATTCTCATTTCGATTCGAAACTTTCTAATTTTTATAAAATTAAAAACATCAAGTATCAGTTTTTTTATGGGCTAGCACTTTCTGAAGGGTCAAAAACCAAACATTTAATCTTATAATTTATAGTTTTTATAGCAATATTTTATGGGGTTAGCCTTATCTAATATGTATAATGTTCTTATTTTCAGGACTCTGGCCAGGACATCACCAATCGCGTTTTCCAAGGCTGTGGCAGACCCAAGTTGAAGAAAATGAAGCGTTCCGTCAGCCCCAAATTGCATGGAGTCCAGGTTCTTAATGCAAAGAGTCCCGTAGAGGCGGATACCCTCGATATTGATGAGACTCTAGATGAGGCGATAGTACTGCGAGAGCGCAGAGCAGCTGACCCAGGTTCCCAGGAGTCCTCAGGACAGCAATCCCAGGAGCAGAGTGGCGGAAAGGGTGGAAATGGTGGTGGAAACGGTGGCGGAGGTGGAGGCGGAGGTAACAACAGGCGGCAACAGCAACGACGCAAGCAACAGCAACAGCGACGCAAACAACAAAACAATCGCGACGACAACGATGACGATGACAATGAGAGTGGAGGCGGTGGACGAGAACCGATTCTGGACAGGACCGTCAGGGATATTCGTCAGCGGGTGAAGGACTACAAAAAGTTCTGGTCCAACTTGCCACATTCCGTTTGCAGTAACGAGGATATAGCCTCCAGTTCCGATGTGGATGGCATGTGCTGGAATGGTCACACCATCGACAGGTTAGAAGAGAAAAACTCTTAGATCGAAAGGAACTTTATTAAACTTACTTTTACCTTCAGGTACATGCACTCCATTACCACAGAGCACGGCTCGAATCCGGAGTTCAATGGCAATCCTGCCAGCACTAAGCAAACAGCTCAGATGTCCGCGCAACTTAGCCACCTGAAAAATGCCATTATCCATCTGCGAAATGCCTACAACGGTCAGGATGTTGAGTGGAGCGAACAAGGTAGTAGGATTAATCGTGATTGATAGGTTGAAATTTTCTAATTCCCTGGTTGATTTACAGAAGAACTTCCATATGCCGGCAGTGGAGCAGGCTCTGGATCCGGCTCTGAAGACGACGAGGACGATGACGAGGGCTCTGGCCTGGGACCGTTCGAACCAAGCCACAAACCGGATGTAGAGCGTCCTTCGGTGGATGCTGACAATGATGATGACGAAGATGCCGGTGGCCGATCTCACTTGCCAACGCACACATCTCGTCCGACAACCGGCGTGGACGATAAGAATCCACTCATACACACCACGCACTTTGACCAAGATAACAACGATCTGGATGAGGATCATCGGCAGGAGGAGGATGATGAGGATTCAGATGGCGGCCATGGCGGTTCAGGGGCCGATGACCATCGATCATCCGATGCCCCTGAGAAGATGACGCTGCGTCGCGCTCTGGTTGTTTATCTACTGCCGCTTTATATGGCGTGGTTCGGTGGCGTCTGCGCCGATTTGCTGTGATTACTCAACGTGCGAAAGGCAGCCAAGGTGGAGCACGGCTGCATCCCCCCCTTACACCTCTCAGTCATTCATCCGTGAAGCAAAATGTTATTAGCAGAACTACATGCAACCCTTATATACGAAATGCGAGTCCAAAATTTTATAAAAACTTTTGATAGAAGCAATCAAAACACGCAATCGAGAATAATATATATTTAGTCGTTTTTCGAATTTTACCCGCGTTAGGAATTTGCAAATTTGAATTTAGATTTAAAACTCCCATGACATTAAGCTCGTGAATTCATGAGCTGAGGCAATATATTCTTTAAATCTAAAAATTCATTTTTGTAAGCTGCCCGCCCGCTAATGTAAAAATCGGAAAATGCCTGATTAAAGGCGTTTCTTGAATGAAACGCGTTTAGGAGAACAAGAAATTAGTGGAGGAGAGAGAATACGTAACGAGCCCATTTTAGTTTAGTAAGACCCAGCCCTAAAAAAAAAAAAAGAAAAACGCCCCCCTGTTCCCCCCACACTCTAAGTCTAAGTGCGAAATTGTAATTTGTAAGCCAGAGAGCGAAAGAATGAGCCAAGTGAATGAATGTCGGAGTGAGTGCTTTTATCGAGTGTGAGTGCGAGAGCGGAGTGCCTGTTCAATGTGATCGTTTAGCAAAAATTAACTATAAACACTTTAGCCCCTAGAGACCTAAGCGAAGAACATACCTACTACACCTATACCTACATCTAAACACACACACACACACATATTTAATTTTTATTATATTTATATGCGTATAGGCGTATATGTAACAAGCAAATTTGCCACAGCACACGAATTCAATTAGCCCCCCCATAAAAACATGAACAGCAATAACTAATTTGTAATATTTTATAGTCTAACTGATAACTCTTAAAAGCTAAAGTCTAATTTACGTTTCAAATGGCCATAGAAAAGCGTCCGAGCCACGGCTTTTGTAATTTTTGTATCTTTCGTAGACAGCCCTGACTTTTGCCAGCCAGCCAATCAGCCAGCCATCAAGCGCATTTCAAACTAAAACTGTGTAAACCTAAATATTTATATTTATTTTTGATTTTTTATCGGTTTTTATATATTGTATTAAAACAAAATGAAAAAGAAAAAAATACAAAAAAGTAACAAAGAAATTGGGTTGCGGTTTTTTAATGGTTTGGCGGTTTGAAAAATAATTTCCGTTACGGCGTTGCCATCATGGAAGAAAACGAGTAAAATAGATGTAGATCAGTGTATGATGTATATGTATGTCCTACATTAAAAGTAAAATTCCACATCCGAAGAAGTCTGGCCTATGTAAAACATCACAACATCTACATCATCAATTGTAGAGTATGAGTATTTTGTAAAAAATATGTAAAAAACCTCCATTAAGATTGTATATTATTTCTGTACCTGGACCCCTAATAAAAATTTTTTTAATCGGATTGCCAACATATTTTAATATTGCACCATTCTCAACAATTATCAGCCCTTAACTATAATGTATATCAAGTGTCACAAATCAATTATATTCTACAGCGTAATCACTTTTCAGAATCCCCTTTTTCAGTATCATCTTTCTTCTCTACCGAATCATCACCATCCGGCAAGTCGGAAAGTGAAGAATCCTGTTTATCCAATGCCTCCTCCATAGCCTTTGAGTCCTCTTCCTGATCGGTGCCCTCATTGTCGGAGGACTCATTTTGGGGAATGTTCAGAGCAGCGAACGACGACTCCAAAAGAGCCAAACGATCCAAAAGCAGCTTAAGGCGTTTGTCCATAGCGTCAAAGTTTTGAGCATTAGCAGAAGAAATCTCGCGATCCTGTAGAGAAGGTCCCTCCACGGCAGAGCCGGAATTTGGCTTACCCTTTGAATTAGATGACATTTTTAAAAATTTTTAAATATATTTCCAATGAGTAGTTCGAAATTCGAAGAGTTGTGATGCTTAAGTTTTTCTTTATTTATAGTTCTATGAAATAAGAAACTGTAGTGGCTTGGCCTCCTGTTTTTTTTACTGGTTTTCTGAACTATTTCTAAAGAAGCCACCCTAAATTAAGGAACGCTTTTGCCCTAATATTTTAATTTCCATTAATATATGGGACTCAAGTTCTTAGAAAAAACAAAAATATAAAATTAATGCAAAAATATATTTTTTGGTAATAGAACAAAATCAAGACATAGATCAACGTACGATAGCCTAAAAATACATTTAATTAACAAAAATCTTTTTCTTTGAATTTCAAGGGGTTTGGTACCAGAATCCTGCCATAAATAATAATATTTGGTTGAAAAAATTATTCATGTTGACGCGGATATTTCAGATATATATAAATGTGATATTTATAACATATACTTGATGACCAATTTTGGTCAAATATTTTTTTGATGTACCAAAAATATTCATTCATTCATACGGCTGGCAAGTGGGAGAGCGTGGAAACTCCGAGATGGAGGTAAAGTCAAATGGTCTCGAGATCTCAGGCGAACTCAGACGCTCCATCCGTCGGAATATCTGGCTCTCTGTATATCTTTGGGTGCGCGGGGAGCTTTGTGGTGGCTTTTTCAGTGATCGCGCGAGCGGCGTACGGTAAACAACTGCTGCCAACGCAACGTGAAAAATGAACGGTGAAAAAGAAAATTTCGAAACGTAAACCTGGAGCGCGCCCCCCTGGGCACACGAAAATATATCTATGAGATGTGCGAATGCGAATCTTGATCCATTGCTAAAAAAAAAAGGAAAATTTAAATTTGAATAATTACGCAAGGTGAGGCACACACGTGAGTGTGGCAGTGAAATGAAAAGTGGGCGAAGCCAAGCGAAAGTGGAAATTGCCGTCAATTTTCCTGTGATCACTGTGATATGACTAACCAATTTATATCAAACCAAAAAGACAAACAGATAAGGCTATCAGCAATCTTACGGTTCGGTATCGTTCATCCGCAATTCCTCGTAAGTTTCATTAGCCCCAACACCTAAATTGTATAAGTAAACAATCGAAGATAAACTTTTTCGGTGTTTCACCATTTCGTTCCTTTGGCCAAGTTAACGTTTGACTTTTAAAGTCAACGTCTTCTTCCAAGCTCTGTTCATCTCTTATTTGCCCCCTTGTGTTTACAGCTGTTCGATGGGGAAACCAGTTTGCCCCAGACCGACTAGCTAGCTAACTAATGTTTCTAACGATATTTGCTTTTTGGGCCTCATCAAACCGCTGAAAGTTTAGTCTTCTAACTGCAACTGCCGCTGTTGGCGGTTGTTGAAGGTTGCTCAAGCCCAGTAACTTGCCTCGTTACGCGCACAATAACCACACAGTTGAACGGCAACAGTTGTCAGGTGTATGATCTGTGTACTAAGAGATGACTAAAAATAAATACAATAATAAGTATCAAACACGTAATGGGAGAAACAAAGATTGGGACACAAATTAGCACCTGCTATAAAATACCTTCTAGCTAGAGTTCTAAGAGTTAGATATTCCGGTCTCATGTGTTTTTTTTTATAAGCTTTTATAATCTATAAAGCAAAACATTTTTGGGTATATATTTAAAATTTTTATGATATAAGAACAACTTCTTCCTTGTATATAGCTTCTATCGTGCAATAATTTTAAATATGTAACTACTTTGACATTAAAGTAATTTCTAGTGTGAATTATGAATTTATTTTCCATTTTGATGATGAACCCTTAAAATATGGATTTTCTTTATAGCATTAGTGTAACCTTTTAGTGGTAGATAGTTAAAACTTTAAAAAATAAATAACAGAAATTAAAATAAAAAAATTCGCACATGCGAATTTACCACATAGCAGAGCAAGGTTTCGATCCTCGGACCTCTGGGTTATGGGCCCAGCACGCTTCCACTGCGCCACTCTGCTTGCTTGAATACCCTCTGCTCTAAAGTCACCCTAAAAACTAATGGAAAACTGTCCACCCTAATATTGATGGTATAACTATTTTTTATCATAGTCTAAAATAATACTACGCTATTCTCATTAAAATTTAATGTAACAAACATAATTATTATTATTTAAATCAAAAAAACCTATTAGCATATTTTTCAACTGCTCTACCACAGAGTTCCGTTAACAGCAGAGTTGGCTTGTAAGCAGTGCACTGTAAGCAAACCAATGTTATGTTGTCGGTAACAAAGTTTAGACTTCGTTTGTAAATATCTAGCTCTAGAGCTAACAACCCACAAGCAAGCAGAGTGGCGCAGTGGAAGCGTGCTGGGCCCATAACCCAGAGGTCCGAGGATCGAAACCTTGCTCTGCTATGTGGTAAACTCGCGTGTGCGAATTTTTTTTTATTTCAAATAAATATTTTTTTTATATTTTATTTTTGATTTGGATAACATTTATCTTGCTAAAAAAGAATTATAAAAATTTGAATAAAGACCAAATACGCGCTGCTTTTGGGATATCTAACCTACTGCATTGTTTAACTTTATTCAGTTGATTTAGTATAAAAGTACAAAATATGAGCTAATCTACTAAGGGTTTCACTACAACTAAGGCGAAGAATTGTCCAACGCTTTGAGCACTCTCTTGTATTACATTAGTAATCTTCGTCGCAGAAGCAACCATCCCGCGAGTTCTCCACAATCCAGTCCAGATATTTCGTTACCCGGGTGTACACGCCCGGATAATTGGGTCTAGCACAACCATTACCCCAGGAAACAATGCCAATCTGCTCGAAGCGCTTGTCATCTGGTCGGAGACGCACCAGCGGACCGCCGGAATCGCCCTGACAACTGTCACGACCGCCAACTCCCGGATAGCCCGAGCACATCATGTTCTTGGTGATCATTTTCTGGGTGTAGTTAGTCTGGGCCACGCATTCGTCGTTGTCTAGAACGGGAACCTCTACCTCCTGCAGCAGGCAAGAGGGTTTTCCATCCTCCTTGAGCGTACCCCAACCGGTGGCTATAGCCTTTGTGCCGACAAATAAATCCTGACGCTGCTCCACTCGCGGCAAGCAGATTGGTCGTATAAAACTGGTAATGGGCACGCGATCATTTAGACGTAGTAGGGCTATATCATTGTCGAAGTTCGAGAAGCTGAACTTCTGGCTAAAGGCGCGAAGTACAAAGCGCGTTTCCGGGCGCTCCTTGTCGTTGCAACGATCGTGCTCCCCGAAGGTCACCTTGATCATGAACCACATGAAACCCTTAACGCAGTGAGCTGCCGTCAGCACGTAGCGATCGTTGATCAAGGTACCGCCACAGTAGAACCTATTGAAGTAGCTCAGCCGCGCCATCCATGGGTACTCGCTAACGCCCGTCGTTGTTCCACCCACAATTCTCGACTCATCATTGCGTTCTCCGCATCTATTAAAATATATAAAAAAATGAAAGAAAATATTTTAGAAAAATTGTAATAATAATTAAAAGGCTTCTTCAGTGAATTCTTAACATTTCCTAAATTTGTAATAATAAAAACAGAAAATATATCATAAAACCTTTTGACATGTTGTTATGAATGATGAATTAAGCAGAGTTATCCCCTTAAGGCTAAAAAACTAAACACGATTAGGCCATTAGAGAGAAATTAAAAATGTATTAGGTCAAGGGTGCCAGAGCGTGCGATCTCTCCCGATTGGCAGAGTTCAGAGTTCAGCAACCCCGCCATAAAGAAAGTGTCACAGTGCTTTATGGACGAACATAAAACAAATGAGCGATTTTTGCGGATTTTATGGACATGCCATCTGAAGAGGCACGACTATAACGCGTTACATTAAACAGGTTTTTAATTACCCATGAAGAAAAAAAAACAACAAAATACAAAAAACAGAACCCAACATGCAGCCAAAATAAAAATCTTCCACCAAGCCGGTAAGGAAGCGTAACAAGTTATCTCCCGTATTTTTTTATTTATTTATTTTGGCCACATAATCAATCGCTGCGACGGCAACAAGTATTTGGGATTCAGATTTTGTGTGTGTTTAATCGTGTCATTGCCCCAAAATGGTGGCCGGTCTGGTCGAGAGACGTCCCGAAACAAAGAAGCAAAATGTGCGACGACGACCCACTTAGGAGACGGCCGTCTTGGCCAGGCCAAAACCAAAAAACGACAACGGCATTCCCCTGCCTCCCGCACAGACATTAATATGACATGACGCATGGAACATACGCCTTTAACAGTATCTGCCATACTCATCTGTATCTGCTGGGTGTACAAATAAACAAAAACGTTCTTTTAAAGCCAAACAGAGACTGTTATCAAATCGTATGCAAATCAGTTTTTTTTTTCTTTTCCAAATGCAAAAAAAAAAAATAAAAATTATATATAGAAATAAAACGGGTTTTGGGCCTTCATTAACAAATAAAAGAAAGGTTGCGACTATCGATTTCGAGTGATTTTATAGCTTTTAGAATGTGTTCTACAGTTTAAGGGGAATGTAAGCGATAAGTATCTTTAAGTCATAGACATCCTTGGTGCTTCCTTTTCTAGACTTGAAATAGTTTAAACTACTTTAAAGGCTTTGCAACTCCCCTTAGAATCAGTTTCCTTTTGTTGTTAATTTTCCTGCCGGCGACTCTACCAATGCCCTTGGGTGATTGCCTATGCCAAAAGCCAAGTGCCGAAAGCCAAAGTTGAATTCCCAATTGGTAATGCAATTTGTTTAATGGCCACACAAGAATGCATTCCGAATGCAATTCTTCAGAGAGAGACAGAGAGAACGTGGCTTTAAGGTCAGGTCGGGAATTGGTTTTTCAAAACAGGTAACAAATGGACAGAAGACAGAAGAATCTTTTGGGATATGTGGAATGTGCTAAAAGGCGTTCCCCATGCGGATTCAAAGGAATGCAGACTATTACTCTTTAAATTGACTAAAGTTAATCCTAACAAATGGGTTCTATTAATAAGTTAAAAAGCGTAACTTGCTGCTTAACCCCTATTTGTTTGGTGTGCTAGTTTTGTAGAGTGGAAAGATCACTTTTTTAATCTGATAAATGCAAATTAGATATGCACCAATTATCATAAGTGTAAAGTCACTCTGACCTTTTGTTTTTAGTGAAAATTTCATATATGGAGATCTCTTTTTTACATACTTTCCCTTTAGGTCTTTGCCATAATTCGAATAGCAAATGGAAGTTAAAATCCTTCTTATTTTGGTTTTAAGTAGAACAGGAAACAACGCAACAGGAGTTTGGCCATAAATATCTCCGATTGCGTGACCATCTCGCAGGCACTAAAATCTATCTGTAACTTTAACTGTTTGTGCCATTTGGGTGTCGTGACAATGACAACGCCGAAGTTGTTTATCACTTCTTTGGCCGTCTAACTGGAAGTTGTCATCATGGCCATGACAGCTTTTGTATCTCAGCGTGCGTGCTGCATCCACGTAACTTAAGTTTTTCTTTTATCTATATGTCTCGGGGGACTTGAAGACGACTCACCTGCAGGAACATGTCGGCGATGTTTGGTTCTGAGCTGCCGGCGAATTATTGCGATTGAAGGCACCGAACCAATTCTTGATCGGATTTTGCCGGAATACAGGTTTATGGACATCGGCATCCGAGGAGGAGGAAGCGTTGACGGCTCCGATTTTTAGCTTCTTTGCCTGATGGTGGGCTGCACCCAAGGCTTGATATTTGCCCGGAATGGAGGATAAAGATGATGTTGCTGTTGATGTTGTTGATGTCGCTGGTGTTGTTGTTGTCGTTGTTGTTGTTGTTGTTGATGTTGCTGTGAGAAGCAGGCAGGAAGCCACGGCCAACACGAGTGGCCAGTGACGTAAGTGGAGCATCATCATCTTCATCTTCTGCCCGCTAGTTATGCAATTCAATGCATGTAAACTTAATGAGCCTTTTGGTCGTCCCGTTGCGGTCCCGACGATCTGTGCCGTTATCGTTGGAATATATTTCGGATTCTCGTTCAGCTTGTTCTATATGCGGGGGGATTTTTTTTCTTTTTTTTTTTTCGAAAAACTCTCCACCAACGTTGGCACTCCACTTGTTAATTATGTAAATCAAACACGGTTTCTTTGTATCTTGTATTGTTGTTGCACTAATTGAACCATTTCACATGACTGCAAACTGTCAACAAGTCGCGCCCTAATCCCAGCGAATTTCTCGATCTGTTTGCTCTTTTCTATATGATTGTTATATATATACATATATATACTCGTACCCTCTATATAGATATACCGATATGGTAGAGTTAGTTCGCACCACCGCGCACGCGAAAGTCTGCAAGTCGACTGATACGAGGTGCTGGCGCAGAAGAGCGACTAAGCCATTTTTCCAAGGCCCCCAAAACAGCGCTGTCGACGTCGAAGCTGGCGCCGGTGGGGCAAAGAAAGTTGCGCTTGCGCAGCGCAGCGTGCGTTGGCAGCGACGCTGGCAGAGCAGAACGTAGAGGGGAGGTAGAGTCGAAGTTTACACTGGAAAAAAAAATTAGAAAATTAAAAATTATTGATGTTAATTAAAGGAAAAAGATATAAAATATTTTTCTTTGCTTTTTTTTTTAACTTATTAATTTCTTGCCAAATGTCTTAAAAATAAAATGATTTGCATTTCGCTATGTCTCTCGCGGTTATTAGACTTAAATTTTAATTTAATTTTTTTCTTCATTCAGCCCTTTTGTTGAGCAGTGTAGAGAGTTGGACAAGTCAGAACGTGGAGAGCAGACGCATTTTTGTTGGCTAGCCTGGGTTCTCAATATGCTAATGTGACAGTTTGCTTTGACTAAGTTTTTTCTTATTTTTTTGTTCTTTTTTTTTTTTTGGTTTGGAGTGTGTGCGTTGGGAGTTCTTGGTTCTTCCTCTTTCCTGCTGTCGCCGACATCGTCTGTTTAACGTTTGTTTATTATGCTCGCAACGTCAATACACCGTGAAAAGTTTAATCAATGGGAAATTGATTTAGGTATTTAACGCTGAAAACAGGTTTAATCACCCAAAGCCCTTAAAAAGAAATAAGATATATAGAAAATGGACAATAAAGTTACATTATGAGTCAATAAAGCGAGGTAGTTAAGCTAAATGAATAGCTTTTTATCACTAAATAATGTAATCATGTAATATTACACCAAAAACAGTTTTAAAGAGGCTTTTTTCTAAGACTAACTTACTTAACCATTATTTTCAGTGCTAACAAATATTTTCTAATGGCTTGCTAGCACTTACAAAGTGGAAGTGGAAACAAAAGTTCACTCCCCTTGGCCAACATAAACATCCTTTAAGATCTGCAAATATAGTCTTAAAATATCAAGTGGGCGAAAGAGAGATTTAAATTATATATTTCTGATCCTAATGATATGCAGACAAGAGCCCACACAGACACAACGACTCGTGGTATTTCACTTTAGTTTTTCATCATTCAAAACCCTTTTAACTTTACCGACGCCTTTTCACTTGCCCAGGGAAAGAGAGTGGAAAATCTGACGTACATTTTCGCATTTTCATGTTCATTTACCGCTGCATGATTAAACAAAAAAAGAAAATCGGTTAATTTCAGTTTTTTTCTTTTTTGCATTTGCATTTGCCCAACGACTGAAGTTTAATTTAAATTACATTAAATAGGTTCGAACTGTACTCGACTACCGACTGTTGACCCAATTAAGTTAAATGGAAATTCATTAAAAATGTCGCACATCAAATCATTTTGTATTGTGTGTTTTTGGTAATGTATCGAGGAATGCACGTTGACATTCCTTTTGAAATATGAATCATTTAATAATCATTAAATCGATTAATGTCAGTGGACAGATGGGTAAAATGAATGTCATTGGCCAAAATGGAAAATGTGTTTTCAGCTAAGTGAAGTGGAAAAGATACATAAATGCTGGTTTCATAGTTTGACTGGCACATAATTGATAAGGAAAAAGTGTAATTTAAGTAATTAAATACTGTTGTCTGTTATTTAGGGTTTTATTTTATTGTTTTTGTGGCTTTTCAAAACCTGACTTAAAGTTCATTAAAATACGAAGTCAATTGTCTTCGAATTCCAGTTTAACAACCCATTCCGGGCACTCCCTGTTTCCTTCCTGCCATGTTCTTCAGCTATTCCAAGTGCAATTTTCTCGATTTCCCTATACCAGACAATCGTTCACTTACAAATTACTTACTCTCTTATGCAAAGCTCAACAATCCATGCCGAAAATGAATAAAAAAAAAATGAAAAGTAATCTCCATAAGGTGCGCATTTTCATTCAGGGGGGTTCCTTATTAATTGAAAGCATGCAAATTTCGCCTCTTCTAATTTTTTCAACTCTCTTCAAATTGCTTTCTTTTCGAGCAGCCAGACACTCGTAATTGTTAATTGGAGGGAAGCCAACTGAGACACCACGAGAGGAGCAAAAGGTTAGAAACCCAGGGGACCAGAAAGCGATTCCCTGACATGCGAGCCAGAGTTTCGAATCCGTGACGACAATCATATTGCATCACCGAGATTAGAAAACATTATTGGGAGTAGCCAAGCAAAGATGAGTGCCGCCGGCTGGCTGGATATGAATGCAGCTCTTCAGAACGTCAACTCCACAGCGGAGTCCGGAGTTCAAAAATCAAGAAGTAAACGCAGAAGTAGCTATGCCGGACGTAGTGCTTCCTCTGCCGCTGGAGTTCATGGCCGAGGCAGCATTGGTAGCATAAGCTCTGGCATCTTCAAAACATTCCGTGATCGATTTCTCAGTAACTCCTCTGGTGATTCTGGTAATTATCGTAAACTAAGGCAAAGGGATGCTGAATCTGGAAGAATGGGAGGTACTGCATACAGTTCCACTGAAAGTTCTGGAGAGGAAGAGGAGCCTAGCAGCAGCAGCAGTGTGGAAGATCTTTTCGCCAATGAGGCAGAACGTCGGAAGTGGCAGAGGAAAAATTCGGAGCAGAGACGACGGGCAGCAAGAAGAAAGGTTAGTGATTCTTTTGAAATATTTAACTATAAAAATCTAACTTTATGACTTGGATTTTTTATATATTTTTTAATTTATAAAATGCTTGAAAGGTGATTCCCCTGATTAGGTAAAACAATACTAACCCGTGAGATAATTTGAATTTATTTTCATCCGTCAATGAAGCCACGCTTTTGGTTTTAAAAGTTCGGAAGTTTGATTTTTGATTACCTTCAAAAGAAAGCTCACATTAACTGTTTTGCATTTCAATATCTCTATCAGCTGATTTTTAACATTCCGAACAGGTCATCTAAACTACAGTTACGTGAGGGTCTTAATCAGACTTTGATTCGTTACCGAAATTGGTTCACTCTCAGCACGAACTGTCGCATGGAAAACCATAAACATTCCATTTTCAGTTTCGTTTTCGTTCACTGACTCGCCTCATTTGCATTAAATTAAATCTAATTTGTATATTAGATAATTGCATTAATAGCCCGGGTGTGGCTAATTGCGAGCTATTTGATAACTATCTAATGAGGAGTCATTTTATAATGGGGTTACTGGACGCCACGCTCTGTTTATGAGCTATGGGTTTTCACTTTCATTGGGTTGAAAGTTTTTTTTTAATTAAAAGTAAGTATATTTATTGAAATTATTGATATTTAATATAAATACAAAAATACATAGATAATTTGAGTATAACTTGTGTAGTAAGCTGACTACATGGTCACCTTAAATATCGACAGAACTCCGATAACCGATAAGCCGAGGTTAGGATAAGAATAAGAAGATGAACTTCAAAATAAGCTATTTTTCAAGCTATAAGCTAGCTATCAGCTGCAATTTTACATGCTGTCCCAGTTATAAATAGGCTAGAACTAGCTTATAAAACGCTAAACTGGCAAAACTGGATAAGATCAGTGTTTGTTTGTGATTTTTAAGCATTTTTCGATTTGATTTAGTTTTGGTTGAAAAGTGAAACAAAAGACATCTGTCAATAATAATAACAATGTTTATTATTTTCTATTTTATTTCTTTTTGCAAATTCCTGTACATTTTGCAAAGGCTCTTCGCATTGACCTATTACTATTTCTTATTCTGATTATATTACTTCCATATTCTCAATCAAATAATACACATAGTTTATAAAACAAATTGCATATAAATTCTATAATAATCAATTTCCCAAACTGTTTTTCTTAGACGTTCCACTGTGCCGTTCTCTCCCTCAAACAGCTGTTGGGAAAAGCTTTCACTTTGTTTACAAACAACCGGCTAAAAGCTGCTACACTCTCTTTCTCTCTCTTACTCCCATTCTGCATTTTCCCATTTTCCACTCACAACTCTGGTGAGTGTGAGTAATTTTCCAGCGTCGCTTTTTATTGCACTCACAATCTCAGCATCTGACTCTAAGCTTCTTCAATCCGGTTTCTGGTCCAGTTTTAGTGTTGCCAGGATTTGGACTTAACGTTTTTGTGCTGCGTCCTTCTGGGATTTTCTATCCAATTTTTTTTTTCTGACCATTTCGTGGTCCAGTGGACTTTAAAGCCACCGCCGCCGCCGCCGTCGCCGCTTAAAGTTACGCGCCATTTTGGCTTATATTTTGTTTGTTTGTTTGTTTGTTAGCATTGCTCAGCCGCCCTGTGTGCCGTGTGTGCTCAAAAGAGCGAGATGGATAGAGCCTAGATTTTGCGATGTTAGTTTTATTTTTACGCTGCTCCTAACTCGCTTGACTGCACATCCTGTTCATCCCGTTTTCCCATTTTGGCTCCGTGTTCTTTTTTCGCCACAAATTATTCAGCAAGGCGTATTCGTTTTAGAGATACACAGATGGAAATTTTGTAACCGAATTTGTTGATTTGATTTTCTTTAGTATTTTTGTGAAAATTGTACTTTTTGATATCGAATTATGTTTTGAATGCCAAGATTTTCCGCTTTCATTCGGCGTAGTTCGAGTTTTTAATATTTTTAAGCTAAAGTACACTCCTTAGTTATTAATTTTAGTGACTTTTCTAAAATGAGTAATTTTGATTCATTTTTTGATTAATTTTTCGATTAATCATCACACAAAATAAATATTAAGCCAAAAAAAATGGCACAAACTTTTATTAACATTTTTCCAAGTGCATTTCCAAGCATTTTTCAGCTATGCTCACCGAAATAAAACGGCAAGAAACGGGCAAAAAATATATAAATAAATGGCCAAAAAATTTTGCGCCAGAATGTCGCCTGAAGAAGAAAAGTAGCTGCGAATGCAATCAGTAGACCTAGATCTATGACGGGAACTTGGCCCAAACTTTCACCACCCAGCTGGCCACCAGTACTTACATAACTCAAACCCGCTTCAAGCCATTTTTCCTAGCTCCCAGCCAGGTGGGACCCATCCTCAATCACACACACACCTACACACACACATGTGGCTCAATGATTTATGCACGCTACTTTATGCCTTCTTAATTACATTTTATGTAACAACCGAAAAATAATAATATCTTGCTGAAAAACAGCAGACAAGATGGGAAGAGGTGGAGCCGCACACAAATCACATTCCTTTTGGGGGTGGGGCAGGAGGCAGAATGGGCGGAAGGACACACACGTACCAGCTGCCAACACAATGCGGAAAACGCTTTCACTTTTACCCTCGTTGCAGCTGCTGTTCCTCTTTTCCCATTTTCACTGTGTCTTTTACCCATAACCATGCCATCGCCATATGCGACTGAAACAAAAATCTATTTGGCAATGGCCTTGGGCTTAGGGCTATAAAAGGGGAGGATCTCAACGGTAGGGGTTTACTGTTTTTCTTTTTTTTTTGTTTTTTTTTGCTAGGGACAGACGTTCTTGTGTATTCAGTCAACACAAATTTGCGTGGCCTTTTTTTTTTTCTGAGAAGATGGGGTTTTGATGGGGTATTTTTTCAGTACCTCCTCCCCCCACCCAGCAGTGCAGTTCATTGAAATGTGTGCGACAAGCGAAATACAATTACACCATGGATTCATGTTCATTGTCTGGATGCGTGACGTCAGCTGGGGGGGAGCTAGGATCAAAAGGGGCAGATATGTAACCAAGCCTGGGGTGCATTCCATTGCGAACCAATACCCACTGTTGACAGCGATAGTTGGGATTGCATTGCGGGCCCAAGGTGAAAGTTCGTTCAGTTACGTGATGTTTGCGTTGCTTTTTGGAGGGTAACAGATTTCCAGTGGCTTTTTGTTTTGCAGATTAATGAATGTGGCCGAATCAGAATGGGATTTAAATAAGAATTTACTTTAAAATTTCATCAGAATGTGTTGGAGGACATGTTGGAAATATTTTTGTATAAAATTCCGGATTTCTTTGACAGAATCCTTTCTGAAGGCCTTTTTTCGGATTTATTGAAAAGGGAAATGGAATTGAAAAATCCCAGGACATGCAATTTTTATTCCGTCAAAGAAAAAGCTGCAACTGTCGATAAAAAGAGGATTTTTAGTTCAACAGTTTTGGTCAAAAATATTTCATTTTAGTTCAAAAATGAAAGAAAAGTTCTTTGAAAGATTGCTGAAGATGTTCTACAATGACTAAATTTGGCAAACTTCAATTTCAAAATATTTTTAAAGTTAAAATGAACTTAATTTTTGGCTTCTTTAAAGCTTTAAACTCTCTTCCTTAACTTGAACAGAGTTCTTTTCATATTTTTGTATCCCTTATCCGGCAACAACATCTCTCAACCCCGTTACACTTGTGATTCAAAGAAAAAAAAAGATTGTAAGCCGGGTTAGTGCCACGTTTACCCAAGCTGCAAATGACAAAGCCATGGTCGGTGGACCGTGGTCGGTTTAAGCCCGGCCAGAACTGTCAAGTGGTTGCCATTGAACCAGAACAAGAAGCGGAATCCCTTTTTGGAATGAGGACACTTTCAGCGACAGCTCGTGTTAAACAAATTAAACACGTAGCCGGCTAGCTACACAGAAGCTGGCCACAGGCGTGAATCCTTTTTTGTCGAATGCCAAAAACTGGAGACCCCGCTGTGGTCGTGGCCATTGTAACGGTGGCACGCTGTTTGCCCAGAATCCTGTTGTTAACTTGGCCACGTTTTCGTGTCGACCTCTTACTCCTCCTTCTCCACCTCCTCCTTCGTACTATTTTGCCTGAAAGTCAAATTAGCGTTTCCCTTTTGCCACTCGACGACGAAGGGGGGCGCGTGAAAAATGCAAATTTTCTGTTCTGTTTCGCTGTTCATAATTTCTGTACTATGGCTGGCCATGGGTACCAAAAATGTGGAAGGTCAAGCCCCGGGAACAATAATTACACAATTTATAATTCACAAAACAATTGTTTTTGACAAGTGAAATATTTTTGTTCGAGCACAGTTTATTTTGTGTTCTCTCTCTCTCTCTCTGACAAAAAGTTTGCCACTAAATGGGCCGCCCAAGTTTTTAATTGAAATGCCTAAAGTGGGTCCCATAGTTTTCTACCAACCAGTCGAAAGTGAAATGTCGCCAACGGCGGCAAACTGTTGTTGAATAGGGTAACCGAAGGAGAAGCCTTCAACCCTTCATGAATTTTCAGTCTACTTGGGAGAAACGGAGTAGCTTTAGAATTTTCCACGTTGCCAGGAAATTTGAAATCACGTTGCCTGGGCAACTAAATAAACAATTTCGAAGGCTACTCTACACTTGGAAAATATAAAAAAATTTATTTATTGAACATTTCTGAGTTACTTTACTTTTGTAGTAAGAAACTAAAATATTTTCTAAGTGTATTTTAGCAGGAAAATCATTAATATAAAATTTTAGTAGCCTGGGAAATAGTTACCAAGCTTTTCCTTGACATTCGGTCGTCACGAATCAAGCAGTGAACTAAGCAGTGCTAAAGCTTAAACATTATATAAAACGTGTTAAAAGTGTGAGAAATCCAGTGATAAAATGTCGATCTTTGACCATCCGGACCAGCTGAAGATGCTGCAGGATCTTCTGAATCCCAATCAGAGGAGAGGCGGCATCGACTACAGCAGCGATGAGGATGAAGAGGACTCTATGGTGGCCAATAAGATGAGTGAGTAAAGTAAAATAAACATTAAGAGGCACTTCATTAGTAGAATTAATCATTTCCCAACCTAGATCCTGGTAGAATTGGCCGTCCCGTGGAAGGAGATTCCACAGGCAACAAACCTAAAAATAAAAAGAAACCCAACCCTTTGGCCACTCCATTGGTGGAGGAAGAGAAAAAGCAGCCGGAGAGTCTAGAGCAATGGCAAGAGCAGCAGGAGAAGGAAGACAACGATATACTAGAAACCCGCAAGAGTCCGGAATATCAAATGTGCTATCGTCAGGCAGTGGGTACAGAAGATGTCTTTCTGCAGGTTAACTGATGTTGATTTAACACTCTAAAAGATTAATAATATAACAAATTTATATCTTAACTAGATGGGCAATCGCACTAGTTCTTCGGCAAGCTGTGAAGATCTTATTCTGGATATTTTCCTGCCGGATGAGGAAATGTCTGCTGACAAAATGTCACTCAACTTGCAGGAAACTGAATTGGATTTGGCTACATGTTTGTACCGCCTTCGATTGCCACTTCCACATCCTGTAAACGTAGATCGCTGCAATGCAAAGTACGATAGTGAGCTGAAGAAACTGAGGCTAACTTTGCGCCTAAAAAGGGAGCTAGATTATGTTAATTTCTAAGAACTTTTAAGAAGTCTTCGATGAGCTTTGCACTTTACACATCATATAGAGGTAACTTTTACACATAGTAGTAGGAAAATTGGAAGGTCTAAAGAATGATTGAACTGATATAATAATATATGTCTAAATTTGCTGTAAGAACTCATGGATCCAATTCATATCCCCCCCGGAAAAAGTATTTCTTAGCGGTTCTAATTTGATATCATAAAATTGATTTATTTCACTGACCCTTCTGTCTCGCAAACCCTCAAATCCTAAACAAATATTTAGACGCTAGAGAGCATTACTCGAGTTTTTCCGCAATTTCAATTCAATTGACGGCACTTTGGTTTGTTTTGCTAGCAAATTGCGCATACGCCGCATGGACCTTGCTGCTGCTGCCGGGTCAATCGCAAATTACGCTCAAACGAAGCATGAAGTATTCCTTGGGCGCTCATGGGCAGCCTTTTATTATGATGCTGTCAAAAATCACTTTGGCTAAATATTTGTCAGGCACAGACGACGACGACGACACAAAACACAAATAAAGAAGGTCAAAAAAAAAAAAAAGAGAAAAGGGAAAGTTGAAAATCGTGATTTTTTTTTGCCATACCTAATAGGCCATGAGTTTCGGGGTAGGGGGCAAGGACTTGTAAGCTTCGAGCCAGACACACACACACAATTACTTCCCGCTGGGTCTGCGGCTGCGTTTTGCCTCATTTACCCTGACTGACACTGGCACATTTCAATTTGTGCGCTCCGGGCAAGCTGGGCCCCGATTTTCGCCACTCCGGTCACCGGCACAGACATGATAAAGTGTCATCCTGCTAACCAAAAAAAAGAATGAAATCTATATAAGTTAAAGTTCACACACAGGCTCATACAAAAAGCTGAAACCAAAAAAAAAAGAATGATAAAAACTCACAAGTTTTGGGCAGCTGGAAGTGCGTGCCTCGCCTGGCGAACTACTTGGTTTTGGATCAGGACCTTTTGCTTCCTTCTTCTTTTTCTTTTCGTAATGAAAGTTTTCCTCAGGACTATGATGATAAATCATCTGACAAGGACTAGCCTGTCGACGGAAAACTTTCAATTTAATTTAAATGCCTGAGACTCGTCGTGGGCGGCGGCTTGGAAATGGAAAGTGAATTACAGCAAATTAGGGATTGAGAGCTCTCAAAGAGCAAATTATTATTATACCAAGGCTTAAACATACTTATACGAAGACAGAGATATGGTTAAAGGAAAAAAGGATTCCATTAAACAAACGAATATTTAACCCATTGAAAAGGAAACAATTTCTCACCCAGCAAAAAACAAAAAAAAAAAGAGGAGAAAGACAGACTTTGCAAGACAGACAAGAAGACGGCTAGGTAAACAATCTGAAATTGTATCAGCATTTCCAGAATACTATACTCCTTTTCCGGGCTCTTTTTCCCATTCAATGACGTTCAACAGGGAAAACAAACAAGCCGGGGAAAAAAAATTACCATGTGTTGATGTTAGACTTCGCAAACAAACAAAAGGAAAACTTGGCCGGCCCTCGAAAAAAAAATTGGAAAAACTACTATGGAAAAACCAACAGAAAAAGGCTGACAAAAAACATTCCTTTTTTTCTTGGTGTTGTTGTTGGTTTTCAGCTCATTTACACAAACGCACGTTTTTGCTTCATCATCATGGTGATCATCCGGTCTAGAGCCACACCCTTTTTATCATCTTTTAGGAGTTTTTTTTTTTTTTCTCAACAAAACACAAATACAAATGCAAATGCAAATATACAACACCGGCAAATGGGTACACACCAAATTCAAATGCAAATTGGGCGCATTTTTCCCATGTGCAATTGTGTTGGCAAATTTTGTCTATCCCGCAGGCTAGGAAAATTGCCAAGTTTTTAATATGTATAAAAGATATATATGGTGTGTGTGTGTGTGTGAGTTTGTTTGTGTGTGTGTGAAATACTTTAAACCCCAAGCATATTCATCATTGAAAGGCTGGCTTATCCTTGAATGTGTTGCCGTTTCTGGTATGCAATAAATAATTGTTGCACTTTTGCCGCACTTGAAAAATGCAATAAGCCAAAGGCCACGCTTCGTTTTGCGGCAATCAGGTTTCCCTCTGGCTCTCTCTCTCTCACAGCCTTCATGAGTTAACCACTGAAACAAGCAGTGTTGTTCGGCCCAAGGTTTTAACAATAAACTGATGATGAAAAACTTAAAGCTGAAATTTCATTTCCTTAAATAAAAAAACTTTCCTTTGTAGTCCCTTTTCGATTTCATTGTGATGGCTCCTGCGCTTTGTTAATTGCCATCTGATTAAAGTTAACTCGGCTTACAGCTTAAAGCTTTTCCGGCAACAAGTCATCCTGCTGAAACTGAATCTTCCCTGGGCTCTGTATCTGTCATTGCCCAATGTTGGTCACTGGAAAAGTTTCCTCTTGTTTTCATTTCGCAGTCTGGGCTTCCGTTCCACATAAATCTGCAGGTTTTATTTTTAATTACCAGTAAAACCATTTCCATGTCGACACAGTTAAAAGTTAAAACCCGAATAAATTTCAATAAAAAAGAAATGATAAATATAAGAAAATATTTCTGGGTAAAACGGCTTATAAGTTGCACAGCGAATGCCTTGCGAATGCTAATTGGAAACAGTTTAAGAAAATTTATGGGTACTTCAACTTTAGAGTTTGAATTTCTTACAAAAATCTTAAAAAAATCTTTAATGAAAACTAAAACCTTATAAAGTAACCCTTAAAGACATATTTACTCTTAAATTCCTTGTGATTTTTCCTACCCTTCAACACCTTATACTTCAATCTCATACCCCCCTGATCATCATGATTTTCCCATTCAACTTCCTACAAAACTGCCACAATTTACCAATTTTCGCAGAAAACACTTTTCACAGCTCATTAAGGCTAACAAATTAAATGGGCTAGCAGGAAAAACAGAAAGTATGAAGTCAGAAGTTGCAGCATTTAAGAGAAAAAGCATAGCATACAAATATCACACATACGCCATGTGGTGCCCTGGATTCTGGCATCTTTCGTAATTGTAGTTAGGCAAGAAGATGCCTTGTTGTTACATGGCGAAATAACAAAATCATTGTGGAATTTAATTAAGTTGCCATGGTCGGTGGCGCAGTTGGTGCGAATAGAACAGAACGAGCCCATTAACACATTTTTCAAGTTTAATTCAACGTAATAACAAAATTTTTGCCAGGCAGCGGTTTGAGGGTAAAGAAGGAAATGCTGTGGCACTCTAGCAGCCATATAAATTACAGACAGACACGAGCGGCATACGAGGACTGGAAATGCTGGATGCGAAAGTGTTGCCATTAAGACGCACACGTGTGGCCCAGAAGAGCGGAGAAAGTCAGTGCCAAAGCTGGGAGTGCCAGCGGCAGCTGATGGCCCTTCAAGCACATTTCTTCAAGTGGCTTCTATTTCTCAGACCTCAGACTTCAGACCGCCTCCCCCTAATTAAGACAAATGTAAAAACTACAACAAAAAAAGCCCAGAAAAGCCGAAAAATGGAGAGCGAACACATCTGCACGGAGAAGAAAGCTTATTAATTATATTTCTGAATGGGTTTTTGTTTTTTAATTCTAAAATAATATTCATCTTACTTATAAGCAGTAATGAAAATGTAAAGATAACCTGTTTGAAGTCGATTTTAGTTTCTATATAGTTTTATGATAACAAATTCCGAAAGTTTTCTCACAGTGCATATGTCAGGTCCTTTACCGAAAGTTGATAAAAAGACATTTTCACTTTAGTTCTTTTTGCGACCTGCATGTTGACACACGGCATTTATGTTTGCCCTGACATTGTCACGTGTCTCATCTGGCGCGTCCTGCGGCAGCAACAACACAGCACACAAAAGTGAAACAGCAGTGGCAACCAGCCACAGCAGCAGAGCAACAAAAAACAAAAGAAAAGAAAAGCGAAATGGTAAGGAGAGTAAAGGAAAAGCCAGCAGCAAATGTCAATGTCTCGCTAAAGTGAATGGCTTTCACCTACCAAGAAGCTGGGCGTGACCTTTTCACATTAATCTCCAGCATGATGGCATTTTAATGCAGGAAACTCAACTATAACTATGGGTATTTATTGTGATGGGTCTGACAGATGTTGCTACTGATATGGGATATGAGGACTGTAAGGGATAAAACTGGAACATAACGAACTGGCAAATTGTCTTGGAACATTCAATTATATCATCAATTAGTTGGATGTGCAACATGTTGCAAAGTGATTTTGGACAGCAGATTAGGTAGCAGCATGAACCCGCTTGGCATAAGATATGAATGGGAATTGATGAGGGTTATTCGTTGGTAATATTAACATCTAATTTAGATTGATTTTTACTATCTTATACCGACAATTTGGTCTTTATATGCCTAAGTAATAAAGATATATATTAATTCTGCTTCTTCTCTAAGCCCCAACCACCCCATTTTTATACACAAAACTCAATTTATCCCAAAACTAAACTCAGCCCAAAGATACAAAGTAATAAACCGGGCCAAGCTGAAAAATGTTGCCTACTTAGCAGCGCAACGAGTTTTCAATAGAAAAGCCACAAAGTGAAAGACGTTGCAAAAGTCAAAGCCCAGCCACAAGGCAAATGCCAAATGGCATTATCAATAGAGGATTCGCTGAATCCTCTTCAGATTTAGAAGCCCAAGTGTGTGAGAATCTGCACTGGGTGCAGTCATGAACATGCATTTGAGGCTATATCTATAGATAGTACATATATATCCGACTATATATATATAGAGAGAGAGAAAGAGCGACATGCCATTTATTCCATTGAACAAAAACTCATTTGTAAGTGTTTTTATGCGTAACGGAATTTATTATAAAAGAGGAGCAGTTCCAGAGCAGATTTATTGCTTTATTACGATGTGGCAGAGCGATGGGTATCAAGATGGGAATCCAGTTTGGCGACAAAGGCCAAAAGGAAAATAATGAAATGGCTGGCAAATATTTAGCACATGATGGCGAAAAACTCACTGAAAGAATGCTGGGGACATCAACGCGGGGGGGCGAGAGAATGAATGCTGCATTTCCGTCTTTTTTCGGCTTTTGTCTCGTTTTCTCTCTCTCTATCTCTCTCTTTCTTTTTCTGCGTAGGGATTTTCCTCGAATGTCAACGGATTGTGGGTGGCAGCACAAAGAACGTAGACCTTGAGGGCGTTCCACATTGCCATCGACATCGTCATCAGCATCATTCTCATTGCAGTCGTTAAGTTATAGACTTTGATTTCGTTCGCTTCATTCAGTCGAAGCTGTGAGGCAACTTTTATCCCAGCCACCCCACAGAGTGTGCGCTCCACAGTTTTCCACAGTCGTTACAGAGATTTATTTGCCTTGTGCCCCGGCAGCTCTTGACTCTGCGACAGCCATATCCTTTTTCCTTTGCCTCGACTTTTAAATGGCTTTAATTGATTTCTGATTTTATGACCCTGCTGGACATATTTCACACTTGATTACATGCCAGTAGGGTGCGATTCCTATTTCTTGACAGCTTTTATAACTTCTTAAGATGTTTGAGGAGAAGTTTAGAGCTTATATTTGGGAGTTTAAGTTAGTAAATACTACATTGTATGAGAAAGAGGGAATCAAAGAGTGGCCCACGAAAGATTTGCGTTTTAAAATCACTATAAAAATATCAATCAAATATCTACTAAATATCTGACACATTGACAATGACATTCGGTATGTCAAAGTCAAAGTTATCGATAGTTCAAAGAGCAAACGCTACATGGACCACCCTGTAACATCCAGTTTTACCCAACAAGTAGCCTTTAGATTGCTGTCAGTATATAATTATGAGTTTCCCAACTCCAACTTTCATAAGACAGTTCCATTTCATAGTTCCTGTACAGCTTGTAAAATTCCAAAAAAAAAACCAAAACAAAGATTTCTCAAAATGTCAGACGATGAATTCCAAGAATTGGAAACCTATGAAGTTTATCCTGAAGGGAGCCAAGGCAATAGTGCCGGCGATTCGCGAGTAATGCCTCTGGATGCCTCTGAGGATGCCAAGTTTTCCGAGGAGATGTTTTGCAACATTCAAGAGCGACTTAACAGGATCATGAAACGTGTTAGTTTGGCCAATTTGGTTATGATCCAGATGAAGAGACGTCTACAGGCTCGTATACCATCAACGACTAACGTTACGAATACTGACAAGATGGCTGGAGGCGATAACCCAGGAATGTTTGATAACTACGAAACGGGAAATGAAAGCGCCAATGAATGAGTTAAGAATGATTTTAAATGATTACAAATTTTAGTTTTAAAAATGTTAAACTATGCTAAAAAATAACACTTCTGTTTAGTAAAGTTAAATTAAATATGTTTGCCCTGTAAGTTTTAGACTTTTACTTACATTTTCATTTTTAAAATCATAAAAAAAGAAATTTAAGAAGTTTTTTTCTTATTAATTTAGTTAATAATTTGTATTTAAACCCAAGTTAATTTACAAAAAACCCTCAAATTATTCATCTGATCCCTCATAATAAACTAACCCCAAAATTTGTATATAAACTGACAAAAAGGAAACATCAAATTCCGCTTTCATGCTCTCCCTTTTCATCATAATTTCAGCTATTTTCCAACGCCATTTACAATTTATTTGGGTCTTTCCACACACACACACACACACACACACACAATAGCACCAAAAACTGACTTCCGTTCAGCCCGCAAACTATGACTTCTTTTTGGGGGCACAATAAACTTTTCATTGACCGCCCTTCAAAAATGTTACCCCCAAGCAATTTCGAGCAGCTGCACTTTGTCAAGGGCCCTTTGTTTTCGTCGGAAAAACTTTTGTGAAACACAAAGTCGAGGAAAATTTGAGACTGAAATTTGCATTTGCCTTTCGCCACATTCACATACAAAGACAGATTGCCTTGGGGCCAAACAAATATGTTAAAAGCAATAAATAAGGAAGGACATTCTTCAAGTTCGTTGGCTGCCGCTCGCATTTATTGGCAGGAAAAATAAAAAATACAAACTGAAACTTAAACTGTATTTGAGGGCAAAACTGAAAATGAAACCAGACATAATGTACCATCATGAAGAAAAAAAGAAACTGCAGTCACAGCAGCGTTAAATTATTTGATATATTTTTATTGTTAACTTGCAAAAATGTCAGAAGCATTTTGTCAGCTGGCAAATCTCGACGGCAGCAATTGTGCAGTGCGTTTATCACTCCAACTGGTGCAACTGTGGCATGTGGCAGCTGCTGCTGCTGCTTTTGCTGGTGCTTCTCGGAATCCTCCTTACCATTCTCTGAATCCTACAGCCGTTTGTCATGGTCCACAGTCGGAGTCCTAGGGAGTCGCATTTTGTCACAACTCCTCCCCGCTAGCTTCATGCTTAAGTAAACTTTGCCTCAATGTTGTGACTACACGCACTGTGTGTCTGATAACCAAGTTGACTGAGTGAACTCACTCGGCTGAATGAATGGCTGCCTGAGTGGGTAAAACGGTTGGAAAACTATACTCGAGTGCCAAGATAAATTCGTAACTTTAACCCTGACTTAAAATGGCATATAATAGCTCCGATTTATGCAAAGTTACTATTTAGCTTAGCATAAAGCTGTTGTCTGTTTATTTAAGCAATCTAAACTTGACTCGCAAAATCCAATTAAAAAGACACAACATTGGAATAGTATCAATTAAAAGCAACGATTTCAGCTTTTAATTTCCGACTGTAAAGTGCTTTGAAGTCTGGCCTTCCATGTTATCGATTCATTAAAATTTCAATATCAGAACCTCACATGAAAATTCAATTACAAAATGCCAGAAAATCCAAAAAGCTAAACATGAACCAACCTGGGCCACATAAATTCAAGCAAATTCGTCACACTTTTTCCTGATTTTCGGTTACCCCCAAAACACACGCACAGTTTACAATATGAAATGCCGAAGAGACGACCTAAACGGAGAAAATCCCCAAGTTCAATGTAACCTGTCACAGGCAGCAGACAAACTAATAACGTTTCGATAATCACAGCAGCTGGGTAAGTGGAAAATGGCGCGGGGAAAAGCGAAGCATTCATGGGAAATCAATCGCACTGAAATCGAAACCGAAATTGAAACCGAAACTGAGGCTGTGGTTGATGGGCTTCGCATTGACTGAGAGAGTGTCCTGTCATTTTGGCCCAGTAGGTCCTCACTCAACAAGGCTTTCTGGCCCCGATGTCGATTCAGATGATGATGATTGTGATGACTAACACTCCTCAATGACTGTCCATTTTCTAGTGACTCGAGTAGTAATGGGGACTAGGCCATTTAAAAATAGGAAAATCTGACAAAAAAGCGAGGAAAAAGATAAACCAGTTGGGAAGAGGTTAAAAGGTAAACTTATATAGAAAGTAATTCTGTAAAAATCATTTTACTTTATGAAATAAGTAATACTTATAATAAATACTGATAATCTGTCAATTATAAATTAGAAATCGAACCAATCGTACCAAAAACAAGGTCTCTCTCAAGCACTTTTCCAGCCTATACCAGTCGAAAAAAGCTAGCCATCTTCTTACCTATCCCAAAATAAACCCCAAACTGGCAACACTGAACTTGAGCCTTTTTCGCGTCAATCTTTCCTCCGTTGGTAATCTGTGGAAATTAGCATTTCAATCAAATCTACTTTTATGTGTCTGACTTGTTTTTTATGCCTGGACGACAGCAACAAAGGCATCCTCATCACGCTCATCACCATCATCATCATCATTCGGCAAATGAAAATGAAATTGTATCCATTCTGTTTATGCATTTGACGAGCTACGAAAAAAAATAAAGGAAAATTGTCGAAATTGATTGATTAAATATTTATTCATACGGAAGTGCTTAGCGTGTTTTCCCTTTTGCCCACTTTTCTTTTTCGGGAAAATTCCTACATATTTATGAACTTTCTTTTTTTTTTTGCCTACTTTTGTAGGCTTTCCCTGTGGGTTGTTTCATTAATTCAGTTAACATGGAATCCCTTTTGGGCGTATCTCAGCTGTTTGGCTCGAAGGGATAGTTAAATTCCTCAAGCAAACAGCAATTTACTGGAACGAATGGTTAATAATTTAGTCAATTTGGTGAATGATTAAGTGGTTTTTATTTATCATTTAAAGATAACCCATTTTGGGTTCTAAAAACTTCTTTTACTCAACTTTATTCTAGCAATCATTCAAGGAATATTTTCCCTTAAACTAAGCCAACAAATATTTGTTCCTTCTAAAGACTGCACCCGCATCAGCCTTCAACTTCTGAATGAAATTTCCCCAGACACCGTCTGGAGTTCTCATCTTGGCTGTGTGGGTGCCTGGCTCATTAATTCGGTTAGTTCTCGGCACTTAAAGTCAATCAACTGGCCCGTAGGAAATCTTAATTAAACAAACTTGTTTGCCAAATCTTTTCTAAATGGCTCCCGCACACACATTGAGCACAAACAGGATGGGGAAATCGAGAAGGCAAACCGAAAACGGAGGTTTCTGCAAAAGCTCATGTTGGTATTGAACAAATGCCTATTCCGGATACACTTAGCAGGAGTAGAGGTCAGCCGGAGGGTATGAGTTACCCGGAGTATGGTTTAGCCGAAGAGTATGGTTTAGCCAGAGAATATGGTTTAGCCGGAAGTAGAAGGGTTTCAGCCTCCATTTGTGGCTAAACGAACGTGCAAAAAACAATTTGGCGGTTCTAGCACATATTCCGACTTTGATTTTGGCCAGCATAAAATAGTTCCCCAAAAGCAGACTGCTTTTCTGGCTGAGTTCAAGGGTCATTCACAAATTGGTAGAGAGCTATATGCTTGAAGCAGTGCTTGTGCTGCACTTGAATGCCGAATCCAGTTCTGAGTATTCCACATACTGGGGTGGCCAAGTCTCTGGTCTTGCCTGGGCCCCATTAAAGTGCTAATAAATTCTGAAAGTCATATCAATCGATGGCGCGGCTGTGCAGAGATGTAGGCCCCATAAAGCGCTGTTTAATGGCCAATGTTTGCTGTGGCTCCATTGGGCATAAGAAGTATATAAATAACACAAGTCAGCTCTATTTACTCGATGGCATCCGACATTCAGATACTTGGCAAACGGTTTTTGCTTTTTAAAACTAAGTTTTTGAGGGGAAAAAAGGATGGGGGTTATGAACTTTCTTTCTTCTAAGAATGTTAAATAATTTTAAGCTCTTAACATGAAATAACTATTTTGTTTGATAAGAAATCATAAAGAATATACCCTTGTAATCTAAAAATACCTTACACAAACCTGAACTCATACTGAAGTCAGTATAAAACTGCTAGAAAAGGTGCTCGTTAATATATGAAGCGTATCCTTTAGAGAGCTCTCAGGATAATAAACCAATAGAAGTTAGAGTCCTGATTAAGGGCCAGCTAAATTAAGTTAAACTAATTCCAGGTTCAAACTGTAGCACTCCTGTTAGAGTTTCCCCCTAGCTGGCAGGGCAAACCTTTCAACTATTTCATCACAAAGAATGACCGCAGCATTCACTCAATGAACACCTTTTGAGACCCATTCAGAGCCCTCCTGATCCCGATGCCTCAATTCAATGGACCAAACACACACACCCCCTTGGGTAATAAACCAAAAACAAAAAAAAAGAAAACAAGAAAAATAATGAAAAAGAAAAGTTTGTTTTTCCCCCCGTTGATATTACTTTAAATATGCAAAACTTCACTGTTTTATGTTGTCCTTGCAGCTGTCCAGTTGGCCGGCCAGGGGTCCTTGTTACTCGGCTACTTGTGCCACTAACGAAGTACGGGGATTCCCCTTTCAAGAGCTTCCAAGTTTGGGTGGGAGGAGGGGGGTGGGGTTCCAGAAAAACATTACACAAATACAAACACAAAGCCAAGCGAAAGCCAAGAGTTGGAAAAGCGTTATGGAAAAGTTGCGTCGTCTGGTCCTGGGCCACTTTTGCATTACATTATCTCAAGTTTTGCCCTGGCAATTTCTCATGTTTCCCCCAACATATTTTCTCTCGCATGTCCGTATTTATATTTACCCATTGTCGTGCTCATAAACATGCAGCTGACTTGTTACTGTCTGTCCCATCGTCCTCGTCATAATGATCATCATCATCATCATCATCATTGTCGTGCTCAACGTCAGGGAAAACTTGTGTCGCACGAAAAACTGAGACTCTGATAAAAAAAAAAAGTTTGCCTCATTTTCATGTCAGGCCAAATGAGTTTTGGAAAGTTGGACCCCCGACCCGTTCTCCGTTTGCCTCTAAAAAGTCATCGGGCAACTCGGCTAATGGTGACAGTAATTTTTAATAAAAGCTGCCAAGTGTCGACACAATTTGCAATTTACACACGCTCCCCGAGTTTGATGGAATAGTTTAGTTTGAAAGAATTAGCATTCCTAGTGACGGCATAACTTCTTCTTCATAGTCCTTGAGTTTTTCAGCATTCGATGAGTGATCTTCTCTTGACGATCTGCATGATCAACAATCCTCTGACAATGGATCATGGTGGCTTCAAAATCACGCTTTAATTTGATAAACTTATAACGAACATCTACATAGGATTCATCTAGTTCCTGGGCACTTCTGGCTCCATAAAGCTGACTCAACATCTCCAGTTCGGAGTCACAACTTTTAATGGACGTAGCATCAATATCAGTGGATTCATCGCCAAATATCGGATGGTCCTCGGTGAAAGGTTCCATGGAGATGATGTAACGTCCTGGGGCATTGTACTTTTGGCTCATCGCATTCACAACACTCAGACAGTCATTCAGGTCCTTCGTTATCAAGTCGCATATGTCCAGGGCATCATCGATTCTTTTGTGTTCCGAGCGTATCATTTCACTCAAATCGAAGTTGATATTAATCTCGAACATATTTAAGCAGTGAAAAAAGAATCATTGATATACATATTGCTATATAGAATAGAACTATGTATATAGTTTCCTTCTTATGTTAGAATAAAATGAAGATTTAACGAACTTGGTTTTGTATTTATATTCACTGAGAAATTATAATAGGAATAAACTTGTTGTAAAGTAAAAAGTGAGCTTAAAAAATATATATTTAAAAATCTAACCAACTTAACTTTTGGTTTTCTGAAAAGAAACAAAAAAGATTCAGAAATTTCAGAAATTTAAATCTAATCCTAAACTTAGTTACCTTTGTCTTAACCGCCACTTCCAGGTCCTCTACCCGATCTATGATATCATTCAAATTGTTGATCTGCAAGCACTGATTTTTGCATTCCAGCATGTAAGTGGCTTGCTTTTGCAGTTCCTTAATCTGATCTTGGATCTGATTATTCCGTTTTTGAGAGTTCGTACTTGCATTTCTCACATTATTTACAACTTGATTGATTTTATTATTAAAACTTTGAAGTAATCCCAAGGGATCTTTGCTGTCCAGTTTTTGAACTTCGAAATCCTTTAATTGCTTATCAACATCTTCACTAAACTTATCTAAATTCTTTTCCAAATTGTCCAAAACATCAGATGGGGGTGTTGAATTTGTGAGTTTATTCCAATCTTTGACCACCTCCACCTCTCTGTCAATCAGAATTTTTAATTTCATCATGAGGTTATCCATCTCCTTATTGACCATTTTTATTTGCTCCCCAGGATCGTCAATATTTCTTGATTGACTTTCGAACAACTTTTGCTGGGCTTCATCCATGTGGTCTTTTAAGCCATCTAATTCGTATGCTAAAATATTAATATAATCTTTATAAGTTTCATTGATTAGTTTTAAGTCATTTTTTAAAGTTAAGGCTCGTCCGTGAAGGAGAACAATATTTTGGCAGCACTTTTCAAACTTTTCAAGTTTCTTGTGCAAAATTTCTCTTTCTTTTTGTAACTCCTTCATGAGGCTTCCCAACTGATCATTAGAAACACTTCCATCAGAAGTCACTTGACCTACATTTTCTGCGTCTCTTAATCTAAAACATGTATTTGTTTTATTATTTATCAAGTACTCAATTTGAGATTGGATTTCAGTCAGTTTTTCGATATTTTTCTTACAGGTTTCAAGTTTTTCACTTAAGTTTGCTGGCGACTGAATGATAAAATTTAAATCATTTTTTTCCACATGTACTTGTAGGTTTTTCATGTTTTTAATCTTTTCCAAGTTATTTTCATCAATAACATTCTTCTTAACGCAATTATTCTCGCAGTTATTAAGAATATCTTTAATACTTTCAACGCGATTAACAGTAGTTTGGTTTAAATGAGATACTATTTGATAGTTATTTCGTTGCTTATCTTTGAGATCCTTTAGCTGACTGCCTAGCCTATGAACTCGGTTATCAGCTTGGGTTTTCATTATAGTTAGTTTATCGTTTAAATTCTTAACATCTTTTTGTATTTCAGTACAGCATTTTGTGCTTCCTTCCTTGCCACTTAATTTTGGTTGCAACATCTGCAAGTTCTGTTTTATGTCTTCTATTTCATCCATCAACATTTTTAGTTTCTTTTCAAGAACGTCCTTCAGCGAAGAGTTTCCTGGGTTTACAACTTCAGATTTTTCTGTCAAATTCTTTAGTCTCTTGCCCAGTTCATCTTTGAGCTCGTTGATTGATGAATTCAAATCTTCACAGCAGGTTTTTAAGCCCTTGGGGTAGTTTTTCTTTATTTGAGATAATATATTTTCCAGATTTTTGTCTAGATCAGCTTCAGGAACAATAAGCTGTGTGTCGGTGCCAGTTTCTGTATTCTGAACTTCGTTGCCAGTGTGTATATGCTGAACTTCATTGCCAGAGTCTTGTTTTAAATTATCATTAATTAATTGCAAAGTGTTCTCTTCATAGAAGCGGCAAATCTTTGAAGAAATCGTCTCATTGAGGAAAATCAGTAGAGAAGACTGATCATTCTTAAACTTCTCCAAATATACATTAAGTTTCATGTGCTCTTCCATCCACCTCGTAACATCGTTGTAGTCATCACACTGCTCAGTCTCCGAGGCTGTTCTTAGTTGATAAAGAAGACTTCCGTAGTCATGGGTGTTTAGTTGGGGTTCCACTGCCTTGATTGCAGATAGCAGTGCCAGTAGTGACGCAATCAATACCTGTGCATGACATTCGCATTGTTGAATGAACACATCTTCTACACTGGAGCCAACGAACTCACCTTTGGTTTCATTTTCGTCACGTTTACTGCGGTCCCGTGGACCTCTGATGCCGGTTAGCCAAGTTCAACTAACTGGGCAAAGAGAGAGAACTATTAGTTACCTAGTTGACCAGCAATCGATTTGCATGCTGTGCTTATTACTGAACAAGGGGAGTTGCAGAAATTGTTATTTAGTTTAAAGAACTTTGAGCTTTTTGGTTAGATCTAAGCAAAAGTATCTAAATAGTGAGGAATTGCTTTAGCTTTGGCAAAAGTCTATTTGTGGTTTATACCCAAGTTTGAAACCAATAAAAAAATGCTTAACAATCAATGATCTAGCTTAACCTCGCTTCATCGGTTATCGGAATTATATCGATATTTAGGGTGACCATGTAGTCAGCCTACTAGTCTTTTGTCTTGAAATACACATAAATACTATCGTTTAAATGAAAAAAACTTTAAAGAAAATGTAAATTAAAAAATGTTTATTTCTGAAACTTCATGGGGAAAAACATTAAATTCGAATATAGTAATCAATTTATAAGTTGAATTCCAATAAGCAAAATTGAAAGTAAATTCTGATAAATATTGCTTATTGCACTCCCTTTCCTCTGTGCGGAAGAGGAATATAGTCAACGCCACCTATATAGACTTCAGGATATTTTTTTTTGGGTTTTGGTGTCGGTTTTTTTAACGGTTTTGTTACTTGTTTCGGCACGGGTTTTAGTAATGGTTTTCGTTCTTGAATTGGTTTTGAAACTACTTTTTGTTTAACCAACTTTTCCGCTTCTTTGATTTGATTTTTCAGCACATCCATATTGCTCATTTCCTTACACTTTTTCTGGCACCCAAGCATTATACTCGAAGGTGTTTTTAGTTTTTCCAATTTATCTTTGACCTTTTCTTCCAGTTCCTCATGGCGCTTAAGAGTTTTCAGCAATTTAGCCTTATCCTGACGAACTTTATCGGTGAGCTCTTCTATACGTTTCTCGCGTTCCTTGACTTTAGCTGGTTTTTCCAACTTTTTATTTTTGTAATCTTTTAACTTCCTTTCGACATTAAGACGGAACTCTTCGAAATCTTTTTGAAGTTTCTCCAACTCATTAGAGTTAGCTTGGCTTGTGGCATTTTCTATAACCTTTAGAATATAATCTTGTTTGTTTTTCATTTTTCCCAAATCCAAGTTACCTTGGCTTAGCTTCCTTTTAATCTTGTTTAGTTGATCCTGAAAATGATCACTACTTTCTGATTGATTCAAGTTGACTAACTTTTTTAGAGCTGCATCTAAGCCATCTTTTAAGGGTTGTAAACTGTTTTTATTAGCTTTTTTGTGATCATTGAAGGTCTGATTCATCTTTTCGAGTTTTATTTTCAATCTATCAGCTTGCTGGGTAAGATCTTCAATTTTCTCACAGCATTTGGGGAAATTTTTCACTTCTTCACTGATGTTTTTGTTTTCTTTTTGAAGGTCTTCAATGCGGTCTCTAAGCTTTTCATTAGATGAACAATTTTTATTACTTTCTGAAGTTATTTTTAGATCTTCAGTTTGGGAGACCACTGGCGGAGATTTATCCCCAGTTCTTGGTTTTGGTTTTATTGTGTTTTGAAGTTTTACTAACATTTTACTTAGCTTTTCGTTATGGTGGGAGCAGGAGTCAAGGATTTGGCCATAATTAGTGGATGATTCGCCTTTTGTAAGGTTAACCAACTTATTTGGGTGATTTTTTATGAACTTCAGTAGGCTTTTAACTTTTTTACCCAAATCGATTAGGAAATCATTTTCCACATAGTCACTTTTTAAGTTTTTATCATTTTCACAACTTTTCTTCCACTTCTCCAAAACATTTTCCGTTTTCTCATTAATAGTATTTTTCAAAATAGTTGTCTTGTCTTCAAGATTTTGTTGGTTGTCCTTTAGTTTTTTGATCTGATTTTCTATGGCTTTTATTTGCTCATCTGCTGCGCTCTTAGCCATGTCAGTTTTGGTATTTAAATCTTGAATTTGTCCTTTTAGTTCATCGCAACAATTGCTCCTTACTTCTGGACCATTATTCTGATTTTGTAATTTTTCCAAGCTGGACTTGAGATCTTTTATTTGACTTTCCAGCACTTCAAGTTCTTCCTCCATCGGACTTGAGTCTTTGGGTTTCTCCTCCTTTAATTTCTTGGCCATATTCTGAACTCTTTCTTCCAATTCAACTTTAAACTTGTCAATTTTTTCTTGCCAGTTTTCACAGCAAATGTTAAAGGCATTGAAAACAGCCTGTTTGATCTTGGATAAAATATCTTCCAGATTCCTTCCAAGGTCTTCGCTGGCTTCTGGCTCCTCTACTTCTAATCCACTCTGCTTCATTATTGCATTTACATTTTCATTGATTAATAGCAGGGTGGTATTTTCATAGGAGCAGCAAGAAGTTGTTCCATTGAGAGAGCTTTGAAGAGCCCCAATATCTTCCTGAAACTCCTTCAGCTGGGCATTAAGCTTAACCCGCTCATCCATCCACCTTGTAATATCGTTGTAGTCTTCGCACTGGTCACTTTCCGGCACTGTTCTTAGTTGATAAAGAAGACTTCCATAGTCATGGCTGTTTAGTTGGGGTTCCACCGCCTTGATTGCAGATAGCAGTGCCAGTAGTGACGCAATCAATACCTGTGCATGACATTCGCATTGTTCAATGAACACATCTTGGTTGCTGGCGCCAACGAACTCACCTTTGGTTTCATTTTCGTCACGTTTACTGCGGTCCCGTGGTCCTCTGATGCCGGTTAGCCAAGTTCAACTAACTGGGCAAAGAGAGAGAGCACTATTAGTTACCTTTTGGCAAAAAGAAAACTGACCGCCAATCAATTTGCATGCTGTGCTTATTAACTATCGAGGGGAGGTGCAGAACTATCAGGAAACAGAATATAACTGCTATAAATCTAAACTTAATATTATCTTAAATCCTTAAAATAAAATTTATTGCAAAATAACTCAGGCAATGATAACTTATCATTAAAGAATGTCCCGAAAGTAAGCACCCATCGTGCTAGATTACCTATGCTTCCCCCAAAACGCCTGTCACCGAACTCATTCCAACTTTTAAGCATCCCCAAAAGAAGCAGCATAAATTCTGTGGGAAACCCAATGCAATTCGCCATGCCCTGAGCAGCATTTACTCGTTATCATGGCACAGGTTGTGGCTACAGTGCCACTTGAAATGGATACCCAACAGGGAGTCGCAACTGCGTCTCCCGATCCCAGCCAGCAGACAGCAGCCAGCAACCAAGGCAATACCTCTAGCTCCCGCTTTTTTACGTCCCCGCGGGCGGGCGGAAAAACCTGAAATGGAAAACAATTTCAGCTACGCAAACACGGCGGGAAGGCCAACAAAAAAAAAAAATATACATATATATATATAAAGAAAGGGAAGCACAAAAATTAAATTGCTAAGCGAAAAAGCTGAAAAAATGAGAGAACCGAAACTGAAATCACAGCAAAAGTTGAACCGCAGAAATAAAGTGATATAACTTTGTGCTTTGCTTTGGGGATGTTGCGGGGATTTTCGAATAATTTCAGCTCAAGGTGTTTGCCCAGCCATCGAGCGAGGAGATTAGTTTAATTAGTCAACGTGGCGTATGCGTCATGTGGTGGCATACCACCAGAAAAGTGCCACATGCGACGGAAAGCAGCACACTCCCAAAAATGCAATCGAACTTTTCGCGTTACGGCTTGCGGTAGTTGGACGTAGGAAAGTCACCGGAAAACCAAGAAGGGGAAAATCAAGGTACCCGGGTTGAGGCGTCAAGAAAGATGCAAATGATAGGTGTTATGGCCCCAAAGGAGAGCAGCAGCAGCCAAAAACTTTCTTAAGTAGTTGGCATAGTTGAGTCGAGTGGCTTCGGGAAATTGGCAAGTGTCGCTCAAGCCTGTCGAGTGATAGTTAATAGCCAGAATAATGAGAAAAAGTTCAAGGCCTCAATCTTAAAGATATTGAAAGGCATTTTTATTTATTATCAAAGCAATTCCTCGCCATTGCTAGCTGAGCTGAGAACTAATAGAAAATGTTCAGTCAATTGCAAAATTCTTCTTCAAAATGCTCTTTTGTCGGATTTTCTATTATTGATTTTAAGCTGTTAAATGGTTTATGACAGCAGTGAAGAGAAAACAAGGAAACACGCCATAGACGTGTGCTCGACTTTAAGATACCCGTTACTGTGTTATATAACTTTATAACCTTATAACCTTTTAGCCTACATTTCTTCATATATACCGAAATAATGTTTCGATTTGAAAAATCTTTAGCAAATCGATAGGTCAAAAAAAGACTTTCTTTATAATAGGGCGTTAGATAGCCGTGACAGGATGCTGAAACAAACTGGCGCTGTGTAGGGTCCTCAAGAATCTTCATGGTTAATCTCAACTTTGTATCTGTTATAGTTCCTGAGATCTCAGCGTTCATACGGACAGATGGAAGGACATATGGACAGACGGACAGACATACGGACAGACATACGGACAGACGGACAGACGGACAGACGGACATGGCTCGATTCGGTTATTGATACTTATTAAGAATATATATACTTTATAGGTTTGTGCAGTTTATGGACCCGATACAGTTTCCATTTCCTTCACACAACGATGGTATCAACGTTTTCGTTCTGGTGTAGAGGTGGTCGAAGATGCGCCACGCTCCGGGTTTCTTCCCAATGGGGAGGCGAGCTTCTATGAGAGGGGCAATATGAAGTTGGCATCTCGTTATTGTAACCAATTTTATGAACAATTGAAAATTCAATAAAAATACCGCAAGACTTTTTTGACAACCTAATATAATTTTCAACTTATCTAATATACCCTTTTACTTTGCAACTAAGGGGTATCAAAAATATACAAATTGTACATTTTTTTTGATTTTTTTATTGATTTTTTATTGATTTTTGTTATTTTTTCTTATTTTTAGGTGAGCTTATTCAACTTGAAGTGGAGATTATGAACTTAAGCTGTGAGAAAATGATTTTTAAAAATGCTTGAAGGGTATGATAAGGTATTTAAAAGTCAACAAATATATCTATAAAATCTATTATTTTTATATTAAATTTATGAAATAATAAATATTTTAAATTTATAACAAAGTATATAAAAACTTCCATATCATAAATTTTGAATATTAATATGCAAGCTCCACTTCTTATAAAATTTGTCTGATTTTATATTGATTTTCTACCAATTCATTATACAATAAACTGTCATCTTTTCTCCTGACCCAACTCAACCTATTTCTCCATGACCTTTAGCATTTAGTTCTCTACATTCATCATCAATTATATTGAAAATTGTGAGAAAGGTTGCCTTGATTGAATTACTACATTAAATCCAACAAAATATGTGTCGCTGAATGGTGGAAGCCTTGAACCCCAGAAACCTGATAAGTAAACCCACAGACAGAGAAATGAGGAGTGCCTTGCCTTTTCATCCCGCAATAAATCACCTTTCAACCGCACATCAATTTTCAAAAAAAAAAAAAAAAACTGCCGAGACGAAAAGGAGATTGTTGAAGAAAAGTCTGTAGTGCCAGGACCTTAGTTAACGGCTATATTTCAGCCAATCAATCAACTTGCTTTCAATTATTTTTCATTTTTTTTCTTAACATGTATTTTACCATAACGAATTTTCCATGCCGTGAACTTTAACTTTTGCTTTTGAAGAAGATTAAGCAAATGGACAGAAGAAATTTGTGGAAAATTAAATTTGGGTTTGATTGGAAAAATAAAATTGATTTTGTATTTAGTTTCTAAGTTGGAAATGCACAAAGAGATTTGATTAGTAAGAGGAAAATTGAACTGCAGAAGTGAATGTTATTTGCTTATAATCAAATATTTAAATTAAGTTTTTAGGCTTTATAAAACTGAGGTTTTTCTTACTAAATATTACTGCATTTACGGCTAAGATATAGAGCTTATACTTTAGGTTAACCCACAGAAGATTTGCTTTTTAAAATCGCCATAAAAACGTTAATATTTCCCAATTTTCTTCGAGCATAAACTTAACCTTTAAACCTCGAACCTTCTACTAAATATCTGACACATTGACAATGACATTTGAAATGTCAAAGTTAAAATTATCAATAGTTCAAAAAGCAAACGCTACATGGGCCGCCCTGTAGAAGAGTTAAAAAGAATGTTTAATGGGAAAGGCTTAACCTTTTTTTCAGTATTTTCTTAAACAAAAAAAAAAGAAAAAAAATTCCCTAAAATGTTACCACTATAATGACTTTATTTACCCAACATTTCCCTTAACTAAAACCTTTTCTAATAATTCCAAGAGTATTTGCAGTCGTTCAGCTAATCCCCAACCAAACTAAACTTCTCCTTAGTCAGACTATCAAAAAGATAGATTTTCCGATATATGCCATGCATGCATCTAGCCACATGAGTTCAACATGAAAGAAGAAGACAAAAAAAAAACAGAAATTGCGGAAAATTGGAAAAGCTTTTTCCTTTGCGATAAGAGCCCTGTATGTGTGTGTGTGTGTGTGTGCAGATGAGTGAGTCCGTGTGTGTGTCTGCAGTCATGCATAGGAATAAGCCGATAAAACCCTGACAATTGTGTCATGGAGTAGCGTTTTAGTTTCGGGATTGGACTTAATGCCTCTTGACTTCAATTTGCATAGTCGGCTTAGCAACGTTAGTGTGCAATGATTGAATGGCAAATTGATAGAATTCGGCATTTACCAGTTGACAGCTGAGGAAAAGCTTATTCCGGTTGAAGGAAACGGATAGAAAATTAAACTGATGACTACGAATATTTCAGTTTGAATTTGCTGTTTGTGCTGGTTTTAATTATTGTAGTAAGTTAAATATGATTTGTGGTCTGTTTAAAATAATTTCTATAATGATTTGATGGGAAAATTGAGAGAGATTTTGCTTATTTAACACAAATTTAATATATTAAATTGGTGATAAGAATATTTTATGAGACATTTAATCATCTCTTTGCCCCATTTTAATGAGCTTACGAAGATAAGATTAAGAAGGTTGAGAATTTCTTAACAAATTTTAACAAAAAGTGCTGACTTTTTCCATTCATATTTAACTCTTTAATTTCCCACACTAAGCCATTCCTGAACCAAACCTTTCTTTTGTTAACAAAAGACAAAGTTTAACACTCAAAGGAATCCCTTATCGTATTGACTTTGACCTAGAGACCGCAAGCCGCCCAGAGCCCGCAGGATTGGCAATTAATCCAATTAGGACAGAGGACGTATTTGCTTCTCATTAAAAATGAAATCCTCTGGAATCCAGGGCTTTGACCAATTACCAAGGATATTATTTTTTTTTGCTTTCACGTTCGCACATTTAAAAAATTAAACAGAAAGGATGAAGATAAAGAAATTGGCAGAGAAGGCTTAGAAGGAATCCAGCAACTCAAACGAAAATTAAGCCATCTGCCTTCATTTAGCTTAAGTGCTTATCCTACTAAGGGACCCTGGCAAAGGACACATTTGCCCACAGGACAATCAATTATGAATGCAACACCGAGCAGAAGTCCGGCCAAAGGAGTCTACTATAAAAGTTGAGGGTGCGAAGCTTTTGCCCGGATAATGATGATAATTATATGTTTTTAGTGACATTGATTTGCTGCCTTCAGGTTGGGGTTTGGGGGCCGTAAAATCACTCATAATGTTTAATTCATTGACCAAACTAATCGGCTTACTCTGCTAATTAATATAATTGATGTCAATCATCTTGCTACACCCAAGCAGGCTCTACACTCCCAATCTACTTTCCTTTCCTTTCAACGTAACTCAAATTTTCTCAGTCCTATATTACCAGACTAAAACAAAATACTCTTTAAATAATATAAATAAAAATCTGTATATTTTTTACCATATAAAAAATGAATGAAAATAGAACTTTGGCCACTCGATCTATTTTATTGGAATGCCTTCGGGAAAATGCCACCAATATGCGAGTGGAACATGAGGATCTGGGACGTCGCATTGCTATTTCATTGGCTGCTTCGAGAAAAACTCTGGAATTAATCGAGAACATGAATGTTGAGCTAGAGCAAATGAAGCATACTATCCAGAATGCCATCAATAATGTTCGTAGACATGAGTATTGTGAAGATCCTTGTCAAAGGCTATTAGAAATTTTATTTTTGGTTGTCGAGAAATTTGATTCGGATGGCAAATTGAATTCCAAAATTGTGTCTCAGATGTATATAGAGTCGAATGATGAGCCACTAGCTATAAAGGCTATTGAAAATAATGAACAAGATTCTCTAACTACTCCCATTGATGATTCCAATGCTGATGATAATGCCTGACCAAGTCAGGCAAGGAAATTAAACCTGATTCTAGCTATGATATGATTGGAAACAGTTTAATCTCGCCTTCTCATATTAGTTTCACGTATTGTTGTATATTTTTATGAATTATATTAAATTTGCATGGTGGATTAAGAAAAGTTAGTAGCTCCAAGCTCCTTTTACTAAGCAATTTCCATCTACTCTTACATGGTATTAATATTTAATTAAGAAAACTCCTTTCTAGACGCACGAAAAGAGAAACCCTTTAACTCTTCACTTCAAGAAGCACACAAGAATGTCCATAAAAAACCCAGAATTATGGCCGAACTTTGCACTCAGAAAACCAAACAGAACACAAATTCTCTGGCCGCAAAAGCCAAAACAGCATTACGTATACGCACTGTGAGTGGCAGACACAGGCAGGGCTAAAGACCAGCTGGTAATCCAAATGGTGGTGATGCTACACAGCTAGCTTCTATGTTCCTAAACAATTTGTCGGCGATTTGTCGGCAAACTTGAGCCAAAAACACATACGCAACGAATGAGCCATATTGCACATACGCCCCGTGTGACCCACAGAGAGTAACGAGGTTAAATGACCAGCTAAGCAACCTGTTGATTTTGCTCACTCTCCCACATGCTTCTCTCTCTCTCATCCACTCAATGCTGTCTTTTGTTTTGCTCTGCTCTTTCGCCGGCTAACAACGTTTTCCACTCATTTTTCGGACCCACTTTGAGTGCTTTGCGCTTGGCGACGATTCTCCAGCTGCGGTTGAGTTCAGTTGCCGCTTGTCAGTCGCCACGTGCGGTTCGGTTACGGTTACGCTTGCGGAAGTCGCCGTCGCGCATTCGAAAATCCAGTTTACGTCGCATTTTTTAGAGTGGGAGTAAACGTAAGTGACTTTCGCGTGCCTAAAGTCAGTTTTTTCAATGAGAGGGAGAGGCGGTGAAAGATTAAGATAAAGATACAATTCGATACAGAATAACGTACGACGGAGATACATTTCAATGGAGTTCGATTTCAAAAGAGACTTTTTTTATTGCCTTTGGCTTTGAGGGGGAGAAATAAAACTACAGAGAAAAATAATAAAGAAATTTTATTTAAAAGAAAAACAAAAATGCATTTTAAACAAATTTAGTTTGTTTTTGTTAAAAAAAAGTTCAATTTTGTGACATTTAAATTAAACTAAAACATGTTCCACTCACTTGATTTTAGTATAAAATTACAAATTTAGCATAACTAATGATAAAAAATCCTTTTTTCTAAAATTTAACACACTTTTTGCAAGCAACAAAGCCTGGAAATAAAAATACAAAAAGCTAAAAAAAATTCCAAATCAAACTTAAATGCGAAAACTTTCTTCAGTACTTCCTCTAAAAGAATATTAAAGTAAACTTACAAATATATTAAAATTTTCGAAATATTTTTCCACATATCTTTCCCCCCTCTCTCTCCCACCCCATTGGAATTTGTTTATGTTCTGCTTTCCAGCCTCCTTCGCCATTTCGGTTTGCCCATTCAAATTAACTAGTTCTGCAATTCTCATTTTGACTTCTGACATTGGCTGTAATCAAATTTTGCCATTCATTTACAAGTTGTTATAATTCCGGTGCCGTTCGCGACCGGAAACGTGCTCGCCGCCGTTTTGTCTACGCCACAGAATAGCAAAAGCCAAAACTGAAGAAAAAAAGAAATGAAAACATAAAAAGAAACAAAGCCAAAAGTAAAATAAACTTTGGCAGCAAAATATTTCTTCAGTATTTTCGGTTGCAGCATTTCTTGTTTATAAAAAAAAGAGACAAAAAAACCGAAAAAATAACAAATGCATGTGAAGACATTTTCTCCGCAGTGTTATGAAGTGGTTAGAATCTTGGCTTGCACTTGTCTAAACAAACTATATATATACCAGTACAGATATATATATATATATATACTTTGTGCATTTATGAATATAATATGTGAAGCATCCTTGGCTGGCTGCCGAAATGACAAAATGATGCATTAAACTAATTGGAAAAACTTTTTGAGGGTATTTTGTGTGAGTGCTCAGCGAAGCTGAAGAAAAGCCACTAAAAGTGATCAAGGGAGTGTGTGATGTGGAAGAATCTATGGACTAGATGTGATTGAATTTTTCAGCCCAAATAGAGGCGGTAATAAAAACATAAATCCAATGGCTTATGAGTTAAATAAATTACCATAAAATAATGAAAAATGGCAAAATATACAATCGTAAATTCAATCTTTGCGGAAATTTCTATGCTAATAATAAAGTGAAAAATAGAAGAAAAAAAGAAAAAAAACTGACATTAACGGAAACAATTCCAATTGGTAAAATAATGTGGAAAAAATTAAATGCAAATTTAACAATAAATATTGTCAAAAAAGTCTTGCGGTATTTTCGCTAGTTGGCCCTGAAAGCGCGTAGTTCTTGTTTTATTCGTCGCTTTAGGTCATACTGTGACTTTTTTGGAAAGCTCATTTCACGCGCTAACACGTGTTTGATTGATTGTCTTTTCTTTTAAGTCTTTCCTGAGTTATAGCGTCGCAATCGTAGAGCAAAATAAAGAGAAAATACGGCATATTTTACAGTACTACTACGATAAAGGCAAAAATTCATCTCAGGCTGCCAATAAAATTTGTGCAGTTTATGGACCCGATACAGTTTCCATTTCCATCGCACAACGATGGTATCAACGTTTTCGTTCTGGTGTAGAGGTGGTCGAAGATGCGCCACGCTCTGAGTTTTTTGCCAATAGGGAAGCGAGCTTCTATGAGAGGGGCATTATGAAGTTGGCATCTCGTTGGGAACGCGTCATAGAACAAAACAGCGCATATTTGACTTCAATCGCATTATTGTAATCAATTTTAAACCGCAAGACTTCTTTGACAACCTTATATTTAAAAACTCAAAAGTTTTACAAGATAAAGTGCATTTTATAGGCAAACCAAACTTGGTTTTCCCACAATTTTCAATATAATTGTCCATGTTAATTTGTTACTAACCTTGGCCAAAAGTTTTTGCTTGTTTGCACAAGAGTGTCAAAATCGGCCAGACAAGTAAACAAGTAAGCGAGAGTAAATATTTTAACAGAAAATTGAAGCAATCAACAGGCGGAGAACTAAGAACTTCGTGAGAAAATTCCACTTTACTGCTTAAATGAAAAAAAAGGTCAAGAGACCCAAACAAATAATGCAGTTTGAGGTGAAAATTAAGAGTGAAGATAAGGCTTCTGATAATGGGAATGTTTTTTAGGAGATATATATATATATATATATAAGAAACGGAACGGCACATAATTGAAAAATAGATTTCTCTACACTCGACTGAGAATTTGTGATTGCTTTCAGCATATTTATGTGCGTAGGTGGGGGGAGGATGGTTGGGAACCACCAGCCAGCTGTCCAAGAAAACTAGGCCGTTTAAATTGCTCCACGTTCTCTATGTGTATATATATATTTGCCTCGACTATATTTAGATTTGCCTCCTATATACCATGCAAACTACATGCCGTATGAGTAATGTTCCAAAAATTGATTAATTAAATCTAACTGATTGGTTTGGGTGTTTTTGGAAAACAAGTTCGGTTTTAATTTACACGACACTTTATTGTCTCTTCAAGCCAATTAAATGAGCTTTTAATCTCAGCTTGTTTGCTATGAAAGAAGAAAAAAACCCAAACTGGAAAACAACAAATGAAACTAGAAATTCCCCGTTGAGCCAGAAACTCATGAAGCGGCAAAAATAAAAAGACATAAAACCAAATGAAAATAAATATTCATATATATAGCTATATATATATACTATATATGCTTGTATAAGCTTCTCTCTTCAAAGCTTATCAAAACAAAAGTCGTACAAAAATGCAGATTTTTTTGTCATTTTGCAAAGCCAAATCTTTCCCATTGGCTTCTGTTTTATGGTTTTTTTTTTCAATTTTCTGCTTCATAAATTAAAATGAATGAAATTTTAATAAATAAAATACATAAAAACAAATGCAAATAAAGGTTGCTTTTAATGTCATTAGGTGAGAATGTCTATTTAATGCATTTATTTTAAAGCAATTAAGCAATTTATGAAGCGTGAGTAATAGGTGGAGCTTTAATTATTGTTTTTATTTTTCAAAGCTAATTTTTATTCATGTAATGAAGTTTTCAGATGGGGTAATTACTCAGACATGAAATTGAAAAGAATGAGTTTATTATTATTTTTTTTAATATTTAGATTAAAGATTTTATTATTAATTAACTTCAAGTTAGCCCAACCAAAGTTCATTGTCCTGCCAGAAATTAAATTCTACTCAATAATCAGCAAGCGAAGAATTCTTCTTCATTGACACCAATTAAGACCAAAAAAAACAATTGAATTTCATATGCAAAAAAATATTAATTGCCGGACATTACAAATTTCAATGGGCCGCCGCCACTACATGTGACGCATTAAAAAATAATAAGGTGGAAAATGCAGAAAATGTAAAAAAATGAATGAAAATTAATTGATATAATTTAAAGAGATGACCAGAAAAGCCAACATGCAACAACAAGCCGGAAAATCCGAGAGGGAAAAATGCAAAAAAGAAAAGAAGAATATAATTTATGAAAATAATTAAGCCGCCAGCAGGGCTAACAAACAACAGCAAGAGCGAACGAGGCTTGACAAAAACTTAACAACTTTATGCTGCTGGGCCTGGGTCCGGTCGGGTCTGGTCGCTCTGTAAGCTTAATTAACACTAGGACTGCGGTTGGAAAGGAGATTTCCGTGGGCCGGGAAATAGTTAGCTGCCGGCGCTAAATGTCAACAATAAGCTGGAGTGCGACTGTTGCACTTTCCCCTCTCGTTTTACCCGCTTTTTGTCGCTTTTCCAGCCATTTTCATTTTAACCAGCCAACCATCCTCTCTCACCCTTCGTTTTATGAATTTTGAGCAGCTTTCGCCTGCAGATTCGTTTTGGCAACAAATCTCCAGTGATAGTCACGGAAATCGCTTAAATTGTGCAACCGAAATAAACGGATGGCGCGTTGAATTTATGCAAAAAAATTGTAAAAACTTTTGTACCCAAAGGTCCTTTCTTGCACTCCTCTCTGTCCTTTGTTGTGTTTTTATACCCGTTACTCGTAGAGTAAAAGGGTATACTAGATTCGTTGAAAAGTATGTAACAGATAGAAGGAAGCTTTTGCGACCCTATAAAGTATATATATTCTTGATCAGGATCAATAGCGAAGTCGATTGAGCCATGTCCGTCTGTCCGTCCGTCCGTCCGTCCGTCCGTCCGTCCGTCCGTCCGTCCGTCCGTCCGTCCGTCCGTATGAACGCTGAGATCTCAGGAACTATAGCAGATACAAGGTTGAGATTAAGCATGAAGATTCTTGAGGTCCCGGGACAGCGCAAGTTTATTACAGCATCCTGCCACGCCCACTCTAACGCCCACAAATCGCAAAAAACTAAAATTGCTGAAATCTCAGGAACTATTGCAGTTAGAAAGTTGAAATTCAGAAAGTATAATCTTTAGATGACAGCGCATCTTATAGTAGTACTACTATCCGGCCACACCCACCCATACGCCCACAAGGCTCAAAAGACGGTTTTCCGATTTTCTAGAAAAGCTGATATCTCGGTAACTATAAGAGATAGAAAGTTCGGATCAAGCATGTATGTTTCTATGACGCTCCCAATG